AATTAACACACCAAGATATTTAATAACTCTAGAGGGATATAGTTATCTATTATTTATTTTAATTTTAATTTCAACGTTGTTACAGTTTTTTCTGTTGTTGTCACAGTTTTTTCTAGCAGATGAAAAAAAAATTAGTTCAGTCTTTTCGGTGTTAAGACATATTAGATTGGTATTTAACCAATGAACTATACCTTTAAGATCTGAATTTATATTTTTACATAGAGAACAGTATGATTTGTTGACTTGCAAGAGATTGGTATCATCTGCAAATAGATGAACCAACGAGAAGTGAACAGAGTTATTTAGATCATTAATATAAATTAAAAACAAAAGAGGACCAAGAACGGAACCTTGAGGAACACCACATGTAACACGTTTGTTACTAGAAGTACAACCATTAACACTTACATATTGTTTCCGGTCCAAAAGATAAGATCGAAATCAATTACTTACAACTCCACGAATTCCATAATGTTCTGACTTAGCTATCAAAATGCTATGATTAACGGTATCGTAAGCCTTTTGTAAATCGATAAAAATACCACAAGCAAAATGACCAGTATTAAGAGCTTTTCTAATTTTGTCAATTATACTTATCAGTGCGTGGCAGGTAAAATGGTTTGATCGAAAACCAAATTGAAACTCATTTAAACAGTTAAAAGAGTTTAGAAAAGAGTACACTCTAGAACACATTAATTTATCAAGAAGCTTACTAATGTTAGATAAAAAAGAAATAGGTCTATAGTTAGTACATAAAAGTTTAGAGCTATTTTTGAAAATTGGAGTAATACAAGATAACTTTAAAATATCTGGAAAAGTTCCATTAATGAATGAGATATTAAATAGTTTAGAGAGAATATTTGAAAATTCATAGTTAAAATCAATAAGAATTTTTGTAGGAATACTGTTTGGACCTAATGATTTTCTGGGCTTCAATTTAGATATAAGAGATGAAATTTCAGGAATGTTTGTTGGAGATAAGAGTAGACTATGTAAGTTTGGATATTTAAGGTACTTTTGATAGTTGACGTAAGATGAATGAATATTGGATTTAAGTTTATGAGCAACATTTGTAAAAAAAGTGTTAAATTTTTCAGAGATTAGAGTCGGTTCAGTTAAATATCTATCATTATCTTGTAAACATTTGGAAGATGAGCTGTTATAATTTTTGACATTTATTAGATTATTAATGCCCAAATTTCGCCAAGATTTTTAACATTATCTGAAAAGAAATTTTTAAAATGAATTTTCTTGCTAAGTTTAATTAAAGTAATTATCATGAATTTATATCGCCTAAAAATAGTTTTAAATGTTTTTATATTTATTAAATCTTTTGATTTTAACATTTTTTTTTTTGAAAAAGATTGCGTATTTGAATAGATTTTATGATTCCTTTTGTAATCCATGGTTTAAATCGACGTTTGAAGCTTTTAATACTAGTCTTTTTGAGTAGGGCATAGCGATCCAAAATCGATGTTGTTTTAGTAATAAACTTATGGAAACAAGAGTTAGTGTCACTGTTTTTTATAACGTCATCCCAATCACACTTTAATAAGTTAGATCTAAATTTTTCTTTATCAAAGTTTTTGAAATTTCTACAAATTATTTTGTGACTCCGTGGTATAAATAATTTGTTGAAATTCGGACAAATACAAAATTGAGGTAGGTGATAGACAGAGACAGAAGTTGTCAAATTTTCAGAAATAATATCATTAGTTATTAAATCAGAAAAAATATTGTCAATGATTGTAGTAGAGTGTTTAGTAATTCTTGTTGGCAAATAATAAAAGGGCGAATATTATAAATAGAAAGTAAGTTTAAAAAATCACAGGTCGCAATATCATTACTTGATTGTATTAAATTTATATTAAAATCATCCAATAAGAAAACAGATTTATTATCTTCAGATATTTTTAGAAGTAATGCAGACATTATATTATTGAAAATATTTATGTCCATGCAAAGGTGTCTATAAATGCACCCAACAATAATATTGGATTTTTTGGAAAAATTAATTTAACAAAAGTGGATAAAAAATTAGGTGAATAAATCATCAAATCATCTCTTCGTTTGTATATTAACTTTCTTGACAAGTATAACAATGTACCCCCACAGGAGGGTACATTGTTATACTTAACAACTTACATTGTTATGCTCAATGTTGTAGTTATCAATGAGAATCGGATGAATTTAGTTAATTTCTTTTTTTAAACGTGTTTCAGTAACAGCAATAATAAAAAACTCAAAATTAACTAATGATAAAAATATGTTTAAATCCTCAAAGTGTTTTTGCATCGATGAAATGTTTAGGTGATAAAAAAAATATTATTTACAAGTTATGACTAGTGATGCATAGATTTCTTCATCGGAATCTAAAACACGAGATGAAACATAGTCATTAATTTGGTTAGAATTTCATTCAAATGTAACGATAGAAATATGTTTGTAGACGGAGGTAAATCGTCAGTTATAATAACTTTATTAGAAGAAAATAGTAATTTAAGCTCGTTATCTGGTACATCTGTGAATGGAAATATACTCGTAGTACAATTTACTCAATGTCGCATTGAGCGACCTAATTGTAATAAATTACACTCAGAATCATTTAACCAGATGCATTTTGTATGAGTCCAAAATGAACAATCTCAGATTGAATTGATCGACAACTTAGACTTATTTATTTTTTTTTTTTTTTGCACAAATAACAATTTAAATCCATATTAGAACAATGAAAATGAGTAATTTCTGCAATAGAATAAAGAATGTAAGAGATATTATGTAGGAAGTAAAAATAGTAGTTATGGTAATTATAATCGTAAAAAGCAAACAATAACAGTAAGTATGACTATTAGGAAGAATAGCAAAATTAACTTGAAACAAAAATCAGTTATAATAAGTAATATTAACTAGGATATTATTAACAATAACATAATGATCAAACAGAATTTTGATTAAAATTATATGATTTAAATAAATAAAAATTATATGATTTAAATAAATAAAAAATTTAATAAAGTTTAATAGAAATGTAAATTAATAACAGAGTAATAATTTAACTGTATATTATATAAAATAATGTAGCTAAATGAATAAACTGATAATTAAGTTGTTAAAGAATGATATAAATATGTATTATGAAATAATAAAATGAATAAATAACAATCTAATATAAAATAAGTATCTAATACAAATAATAATTAAATTAAAATAAATAAATGATAGTTACAATAAAGGCTAGCTACAAAAATATCTTCTAATACTTGATCTTATCTTTCTTCTCTTCCGCTTTTTTTTTGGTTTCTTCTGTTTTTCCTTTTCTTATCTTTTTCTTTTCTTTTTTCTTTTTTATCTTTTCTTTTAGTTAAATTTAGGGAATTAAAAATTCTAATTTTTTTTTTGTCTATTCTTTTTAAAGTTTGTATGACGTAAACTCTCTCATTCTCCTTTTTATTTGGATTTTTTTCGACGTTTTTTTCAATTTATATGTACTTAATTATTATTAATTCTTTTTTCGTTAATTTTTATTTCTTTCTTTTTAAAGTTTCTTATTTTATTTACTGATTAGATTTGTTGTTCAGTTATTAAAATTTTTGTTTAAATTTCTTTTTTCTTTTTTTTTTCCCTTTATCTTTCTGTCATAAAAATACGTCCGCCATTGTTGAAGACTCTCCGAGGACCACAAAGACTCTCCAAGGACCACAAGACTCTCCAAGGACCACCTAATAACTTAGCTTGTAATTAGTTAACTTAGCTTGCAACCATTTTCTGAAACCTTTTATGAGATATAAGATGGAAATTTTCTAAAACGTAAAATAAATTAAAAACCAATTTAGAAATTATTTTTTTCTACGAACAGCTGTCTATGTTGATTTCCAGGTTTTTTATCTGTGTAAAGAAAAGCAAGAGCTAAAAAAAAGACTATTTTATAACATACAGAATAGAATTAGGCTAAATATGTTAGCATACTCTTTTTGTCTTATTATATTTTAGAAAACAGAAATGAAAAACATTTTTTGTATTTATTTGATTTTTCATTTTAAACTCTGAGGTTGGTACTGAGGTTGGTACTGAGGTGGGTACTGAGGTTGGTACTGAGGTTGGTTGTATTTTGTTCATTGATCGGTAGAGTTTCTCAAAAACAGGTAGTTTCAGAAAACAGCTGTTTTCTGTTTTACATTAAAAAAAAAAAAAAACTCTTAAAGCTGTTTTCTGTTTTTCGTGGAATTTAGAACAAAATAGTCCTATTTTTAGCATTATTGCTTATTATAGTAAAATTTAAAGAACACGAGTGAATTCAGTGATTTGTCCGAATGGCGTGATTGAACCTATATGACAAAGTCTGTTGAAATTGAAATGACTTCAACAACGTCTATAGACGTCGATTTAATTGTAAGAATAGCCATAAAATTTTTTTTAAAATTTTCTGCTATTTTCTCTTGTTCTGAAATAGCGAAAATTCCTGTTTTAGCCATTTGAACTCATTGAGTAAAGTGTCTATGGATAGAATATTCGTAGGATTTCTCAGTGATGTTAACAAGTTCATCACATCGTAATTTCATTCACTCGTTCGCCTTTTGAGGTTTTTATATGAATCCTTACCAAAGTTGTTAGTTAATTTAAAAGTTTCTCCACCATAAGCCAATAACAGTATATGCTGTTAAAAGCGCTGAATTTTTTTGACTCAGTGTCTCATAGCAATTTTGATCGGCTGTAAATTTATAAATTTGTCATTTGGTCGTGTGATTAGAACAAGATGGCTCACTATTTTTTTCGGTCTTTGATCATATTATTTTAAAACACAAGTTTTAAAATAATATGATTAAGTTTATACAATTTTTTACTACAATAAAATAATGTTATATATAATAAATACAATAATAATAAGTATAAAAAAGTTATTATTATAATAAATTATAAAAAATATTATTTTAAACAAAATACCAATAATATGCAGTATGAATAATCATGGACAAACTTAAAATTAAAAAAAAAGCTTAAACCTTGAATTTGAAGCATCCATATAACTAAAGCAACAAACATTATTTTCATATTGTTTTCCGATTTTTTCTTTTCTAAATATTTGAAAAAAAAAAAAAAAAAAAGGTTTTAAACTATGGTTAAGTAGTGCATTGGTAAACTTTATTATTTGCCAGACGTTTCCAGACGTCCGGCTTTTACGATGGAGAATACAGTGCCGAAGCTATAAAAACAAATATTTTTACTGTTATTATTATTATTATTTCATTTATTTAACACCCAATGTAATTTACAAGGTAAAAAAGAAAAATAAGAAAGTTATTTCTTGTGATTTTCACTTAAGAATTTTTTCCTCCAGAATTTGTTTAAAAATTCCTCTTTGCTCTTTCGCATTCCAGCACTCTATTGCAGTTTCAAAGTTTGTTCAACTTTGGAGGGAATTTCACTTTTAGAAAGTGCTATTTTTATCTTCTTTTTATTTCGAATTAAGTTTTGAAAATTTATCATCCGAAAACGGCATAGATCCTGGATATCGCTAACAAACGAATTTTTAAATAAGGGGTGTTTCAGTTGTGAAACACAACTGTGTTCTCCTTCGTAATACATTACTAACGGACATTACTAACTATTAGTATATGTTAACACTTATGTCAATAGGGGAAAATTAAAAACATTTTATGATTTATTTTTTGAATTTTGAATTTTCCAAAAAACTTTATTAAGTAAATAATAAATATATTGGTATTTATTTATAATATATTATAAATAAATTATAAAAAATTCAAACAATATTTGCTACAGATTTTGATGACTTTAGAGCAAATATGTCAACAATTATTTAAGACTTTAAAATATTGCTCAGCATTGATTTGAAGAGGTATTTTTCTAATTTTCTAGGTTTTTTGTAAAACGATCTTTGTTTTATATATTAAAACCTAAATTTTGTTTCCTATATACTTTAATATAAAACTATGCTTCCTATATATACAAATAATAACATTAAATAACATGCGCGTAAAACAAAAAAAAAAAGATGAAGATAAGTTGGATTTACATTTAAACATAAAGATTATTTTGGTAGTCCAAAATAAACGGGTTTCCAAGAATGTTGAAGGTACGTTAGTTTTCAAACGCTTTGGAGCCATGGAAACCATGGTTTAATAAACAATGGCAAATTTTGTTTTCAATGGTGTTTGGAAAGAGATATTGCCAGTGGTATCAAAATGTGTAGCCTGTTTTAATATGGAATACTCTCAAAAGTCATTCTTGAAATTCATTCATAGCGAAAGAGTACTTTCAGAAAGTTTTTTGATTGGTTGATTAAGAAGCCATTTTTCTTTACGTTTTTTTAATTTACAAAGCAGCAATAGTGTTTCTTTTACTTCATTAGGTTTATGAGTAATTGATTTGTCACTCAATTTAGCTTAAGTGTTGTGTAAATCTCGCATACCATGTTTTTACTATAGAAACTTTTTAAAAACTTTCAGATTGAGATCATTCTAGAAACTTCAAAAATATTCTTCTAGCCTAAAAAGAATATTTTTGAGGGTTCTTCTTATATCTTTTTAGATTCTAAAATATTTTTTCCTTCAAAAATGTTTTGTCAAGTAAAAAATGTTCTATAATCTTCCAGATTGCTCTTGAATAAATAAGAATACTCTGAACTTTTTTTAAATAATATGAATAGACCAGAATACTCTGGTCCTTAAATAATATGGACCTTTGAACAAATTAGAATACTCTGGTCCTTAATATGAAACCTTTTAGAATCTCATGCAACGTAACGAAACTAGAGGATTTTGAAAAACCAGTTTAGAACCTTACAGAATGTTCTGGATTTATCCTTTCTTCTTTTTACTCGTACAGGAGATACTTACATTTTACTTTAAGCAACAATTTTTGTCAAAAGCAAATGTTTTTAGAGATTTAAATAAAAAATTGTTTTTTTCATTAAAACATTTTACTAGTGAAATATACGGAAAACCTCTGATTATTGTTATTAACAACTCAAGCAACTCAAAATTTTACTAATAGAAAAGTTGTAAAAAACTCATTGTCTTGAAAATATATTTAATTACACAGATCTTTCTTCTAATTCAAAGAGTGTTGAAAAATTTGCACAGAATATTTCGAAGGCTTCTTGGAATTCTAAGGACTTTACAAACTTGTTTTGTGAAATCCTGTTTTATCAACCATTATTAATCTGCCTCGTCAACCATACTCATACTCCTTGTCTCATCAACCATAGTCGTTTGTTTCATCAACCATATTCATTTATCTCATTAACCATACTTTCCTGACATGGCTCCATTCACTTACAGGTTTTTACAAGCGTTACGTTGGAGATAATGAATTCATGAAGGAGATAAAAAAAAAAAAACTTTGATGACATCTGATCAAATAGCATAATTTTTTTTACACTTTTAATTTTCAAATTATCTAATGTTAAAAAATATATAAAAAATAAAAGATATAGAACAGAATTCTGCGCTCAATATAGTTATTTGTTAATAGAAGCTGTTGTAGTTTTTATTTTTACATATGAAATAAATATATATATACATATTTTATATATATATATATATATATATATATATATATATATATAACCTACGTGAAAAAGTAAAATGAAAAAACTTACTTAAATTGAATTTAAACATCTCTATTTTTTTAATATTTTAAAAATATTACATTTTATAAATGTAAATCAGAATTTTTTTGTATAATTGAACTTAAAATTGTAAAACAACCATCAAAGTTTAAAAATTTTAAAAACTTGCTTTAAATGTAAAAAAATACGTTTTTTCTTTTTACAAGAATCGAACTGTTAAATAATTTAATTTTCAATTCAACTGAACTATTTTTTTAAAATTGTTTTGAGATAGTTGCAATTCAATTCCGGAACAAACTCAATTAATTGAAGTGTTCGCAATCCAATTGACGTTTCTCAATGGTGTATCGCTTATTTTTTAAAAATAATTTAAGAAACTGATACTGTGCACTTGTTGCGCAATTCTTATCCTTATAATTGCGAATAAAAGTTATTAAAATTTTGAAACTATTATTTTATTTTCGAATAATTAAAAAAAAAGGACCAAAACTAAGGTCTCTTTAAAAAAGTTTTTTTTACCGGTTACTCTTCTATAGTTTTGCCTTTCAAATGGTATTCAAAAGTTACGTAATTAAAATCCTGTCTTGACAAATAATGCAAATCAAAGTAGAGAAAAGCAAAATCCTACCTTAAAGAACAAAGCAACATTGGTGAGAAATGGAGGAAAAAAAGGCAAACTTTCTCACTTAATGTAATACCCTTGGTGGTAATCTCGACGACAAAATCAATTTATTCTTCTCAAAGTTATTAAATATTACTAAAACACTTAAATGTTATAATGTTTTTGAAAGAAACTGCCTTATAACAGATATTGTTCAAAAAACCTTTATGGTTAAGCTGTACGCTACGGCGTACAGCTTAACCATAAAGGTTATTATAAAAAGCGTAAGCCTTTTTATAATAACAGCTTAACCATAAAGGTATTTATAAAAAGCGTAAGCCTTGTAATCAAGAGATCCGAAGTTCAATGTATTCTCTGGCTATATAAGGAACATCAATAACAATGACAGCGTAAACTCCTAGTTTACGCTGTCATTGTTATTGATGTTGTGCTCTAGGGGAGCATTCAACTCCTAGTTGAATGCTCCCCTAGAGCATTTAACTAGGAGTTTACGCAGTAAATGTTTACGTTTTATCACAAAATATCAAGCACGGTACTCTGTGATCAAGACCAAGAGAGAAAAGATTGTATTTAAAAAAATGTGTTTTTCAGGCTCGGGATTTGATAGTTTTTTGTTAGGAACGCAGTTCTTAAAAAACAATATTGGAGTTAATCAGTAAGCTGATTAGATAAGTAATTATAATCAGTAAAGCTGATTATAATGACAACGTTGATGGTGTTGTTGATATTTAAAGTTGGTCCAATACTTTTTAAAAGTGGACGTTTTTCATTATACATACATACATACTTGAAAAAAAATCGTTGAATGTATGATAAGATAGAGAAGTGTGTATTATCAGCTATAAAACATGGTGTATGTAGTTTTATAGTGTGGGGCTATTTTCGTCGTAATGCCACCGGTAACATTGCAAAAATAGAGGTAATAACATCAAAAGTAGTTAACTTGGACACTTAAAAAGTCATGCTATATTTTTGGAAAGTTGGGTTAATGGAAAACCATTTTTTAGAAGAAAATGTTTTAAAGAGTAAATCCAAAATTCTTTAGAACATTGTATAATCTATTTGACTGAGTTCGAGAATGATTAAATCTTGAATAGAATGATTAAGCCTCCCCAATTATAAGATCTCCCTCCTATCGGATTTATATGGAATGAATTGAATGTTAAAAACTAATGCCTAGTGATGCATAACATGTGGAAAAAAATTATTAGTTAGTGGCATAAAATTGATTGCGACAAATTGCAATCAATTTTATGCCACTTTTTAAGTCGTTAAGTAGAATGCCAAGAATATGTATGGCAGCTATGGGTGATTAGTAGGCAAGTAAATAATAAAATAATCTAATGGGACTTGATATTAATTTTTCTGTTAACCTAATGAATAGGAAGATAACATATAATTCAGGTAAATTTTATTTCAGTTTTTCTCCCAATAGTAAGTAAAGACTTAATATCTTATACCGAAAAGTATTACCATTCGAATAATTATGGACGGTAGTATATATACTAAAAGTATTCATGTCAATTAAGAGAGACTTAGCATGAGTAAAACGTTCCCTTAAATTAATGTGTGCAACAGCTGACGATATAGAGGTTCAAGTTTTACTTTTACCTCATGCAACATTTGCATAGTTTAGGTTGCAATGGAAAATGAAAGAAAGTTGAGTTAAAGTGTGTTTATATAGGATGTTTTTTGTTTTTTATAGCATTCCAATACTTTTAGATATTTTACTGCCCAAATTATCAATGTGCTATTTCCTTGAGAGATTTTCAATATAAACGCCTAAAAATATTGTAAAGCTTACTTTTTAAGTGGCATATTTTCAATAAAAGGAAAAGGGATATCATTTGTCAGTAAGTTTTTTTTTTTAAAATAAGGATGAAAAAAAAATCCATTTAGTTTTATCAATATTAATAGATTAAGTGTTTTCATATAGAGAATTTAACTTATTGTGAGATAAAAAAAACGGATTAGTGTCATCTGTGAACATAACGGTCATCAAGCTTGAGGTTTAACAGAGATCATTCATGTAAATAAAAAAAGTAGAGGTTCTAATATTGATCCCTGGGGTACTTCACATGTTATACCAAGCAAAACTTTCTGCCAATTTGATTCAATGAAGACGAATTGCTTGTGATTAATTAAACAGTTCGTAGTCCGAATATTACTAGTTTTTCTATAATATTGTAATTCGTTTATAATAGAATTTCATGACTTATGGTATCAAATGTTTTTGCTAAATCTATGAAAACTCTTAAAGTATATTGTAAATTTTTAATCGATAGCATTTGTAAAACTGTTATTTTTTTATTGGTTATTATATTTGAGATTATTATTTAATAGGTGATTATATATTCAATTATAAAAAATTCTTTTCAAAACTTTTGGGAAAACAGAAAAAATGGATATAAGACGGTAACTGCTAATATTAGATAAATCTCCTTCCTACAACCTTCGTTATTTTTAATTAATTAGGAAAAATTCCTTTTCTGATGAAACATAAATATATTCTTGAAATAATATTTGTTTAAACACCTGCTGATTTAATAACAATAATCCTATTTATATAATCCGGGCCAATTGTTTTGTTTGGTGTAAGCATTTTAATAGTACATTCAAATTCATCAAAAGTTAGTTCAAAGGAGTTAAAATGTGATATTAGGGGGGAAAGAATGACATTTTTCAAAATTGTCAGTTGGATAAATTTTTGTTTTTCTTTGGACCAACATATGCAAAATAATAATTTAGCTCAGCAGCTATCTTTTTGTTGATTAACCAAGAACTCTTTATTTATTTTAATTGTTTTGGGTAAAGACATTTTTTTTTGTTACTGCTTGTAATTTCTACTAAATATACAATATTTAATAACATTCTCGTAAATAACAAGTAAAGTAGTTAAGAATATACAATAACAAGTAAAGTAGTTAAGAATATACAATAGTTATAATTTTCAGAATATAATTTTCAGACAGCAACTGTCTGAAAATTTTATTCAACGAGTTGAAAACAGAAACTTTTATTTTTAAGTTCAACACCGAACTAGCAAGCACTTTAACATAAAATGTTTAGCTGATGGTTATAAATCAATACCTTTTCAAATAGTTTCCTTTTGAAAAATTTTGTATATGTAATTACAGTTTAGTAAATTTTGTAAATTTATCGTTTAGCAAAGTTTTAATCTCAAGATTTGGTTAGCGATAATATAATTGAGTTTGCAACGAGCTTGATCAACTGTTTCTTTTAATCTTCTCTTTATTGCCTTATAATTTAATAAAAGTAAAAATTTATCTTTTATCAATTGAAATATATTATCAAAAGATTAAAAATTAATCGTTTATTGCTTAATATTGCTCTTATATTGCTTAATGATGATTATTTGGGTTTTAAAAGCTGAGTTTTCAAATAACTGAAAATCCACTTTATAATGTTCACATAAATTGGTTATTAAAAAAAAAGTTTAGATATTTAGATTAAATTAGTTCGTAAGAAAATAAAAAAGTGTACAAATTTTTGAAAAAATTAGGCATTTTTGTTGCTTTTTTTTCCTAAAGAGTGTTTGCCCTTTTTATTGAAAGATTTGAAACTTCTTCAATATGAGGCTTAGCTTCAATGTGAGGTTGTGTGATTTTGTGGTATTTAAAGAGACCAGCGTTTAAGTAAATTCGACAGGTAATATGAGTTTCAATATGAGGTCTTTTTGTATTATTACTATTTGTACGGCAAAGTTCATTTTTATTAAAATTGTTTCTTTCTTATTAAAGTTGTGTTCGATAGTTCAGTTTTATTTTTTCAAAGCTGCTCAACTTACCTCCGTAAATTAAAGTGACACAATAGTTATGTTTTTAAAAAGAACAATAAGACTTATGATTCGTCCATAAATTACGCAAAAAGCTAAATTTATCTAAAAAACAGAAGTAGGTTCATTTACGATTTATTTTAGGCTCTTTTAACGATTTTCATTATACTGAATGAGCTATTTTGATTTTTTTAAATAACTTAAGGCTCTGCGGGGAAAATTTTTTAATGTTTTTTGTTTTGTTAATTAGTGAAATTTAGCTAAGCGCAATTTATAGACGATCCCGTAGGAAAAAAGCGGCTGATTATAATCGAAAGTTCGATATTTTGGTAAAATATTAACACTCAAAAGAAGGCAGATTAGTAAACATCTAAGATAAAATTATATCGACAAATAAAGTAAATAAAAAAGCGACTTTTTTTGTTAACTACGCAAAACTTTAGTGCGCAGAAGTAAACAATTGACCGATTTAGTTTTTATTTTTACCCCAAATCGCATACTATATTATATGTTATTTACATTTATTATACGTTTTTTAGTTTTTAGTATAGCACATATTTTCCCACCCATTTTATGTTATAAAAGCCAACTTTGACTTTTATTCAACTTATAACGCATTAATCGCTATAAATTAGAAATAAATAAATTATGAGTTAAAACGCAAAGTTCTCTTAAATAAGGAAGTTTTTAAAAATATGATTCGTAAGTTATGCATTGCATGCGGTAAAAAGGTGAATATTTAAAACTTTATGTAACAAAAACTTGCTAAATACAAGATTATATTTATAAAAATATTTAAAATCGGCAAACGAAATAAATATGTTCCAGCTTTTTTATTTAAATTTTTATTTTAGGTAATTGTGAGATTAAAGTTTTGTACATGTGGACATGTTTTCGCGGAAACATTATTAGTTGGTCAAACGAAAAATCGTTAGTTATTTTAGTATTTTTGTTAAAGTTTTATATTTAATTTTGAAATAAACATATTTTACATAAATGGTATAAAAGTAAACTGAAGCACGTGTATGTATATGTGTGTGCACACATATACATACACGTAAATTTTGAAATAATATGATGTTAGAGTAAATGATTTGTGATATATTCAAGGTCTTCGAGGTAGTGAAAAAAGAGCAAGGTTGGTTAAAGATATTCCCGGAAACACTTCACGAACTTTGAAAAGCAAGGTCAGAAAAATTAAGAGTTTATTATTTTACATTATACAACTTTTATGTTTAGGTTTTAATTTGGTTAACCATAAAAAGTTTCTATTTAATCAAGATATTATCAGCGAATAAATAAACAATGCAGAACAATACAATATAGCAATACAATGTTTTTACCAGTTAATTATCTCACCACCTACTTTTTATTTGAGTTTAACTAATTAGTAATTTAAATTATAATACTGTTATTTAATTAATTTTTTAGTATTCATAAATTTCAATTAACTGTAGTTTTATTAGGTGCGGAAATATTTCCTTTTAAAGGGAAAAAGGCTAACTTATACAAAGTCAACAAAACCAATTGAAAAACCGAGACGACATTTGTTTAAAAAGAAAGGATTATTGCTTTTAGAAGAACGCCGAAGAAGGATCAACTCTATTTTTAGCTCGCCACAGCACCAAGAAAAAATGAGCAAAGTTTTACATTTAATAAATAGAAAACTATTAGTGCAAAAATTATTTTCATCTCTTATTAAAGATTAAAAACTCGTTTTGCTAAGGTGGATCAACTCAAAGTTGGCGCAAATACATTAAAACAAAAGACACCGGCACAGACGTAACAAAATCTTCTCGGATAGAAAAGCATATTGCAAGCGATAATACCAGTGTTTAGTTAATATGTAATTATTTCACGACACAAAAAAAAATTAAAGAAAAATACGGAAAGTATAATGATTTTATTAAAACAATAATTTTATTTAAAGTTTATTTGCTAGGCAACGATAATTCCATCATTTTATTCACTTGCTTAGCGACCATAATTCAATTTAGCGAAAACAGCTTGTTTTGCCTCACTTATCCCAGTATTGTTCCGTTTGCATTTCGTTAATACGAGATAGGGTTCTTTTAAACGCAAAGGTTTCTTCCTCACCAGTAAAAAGACTAACATTTTTGCTTTTTAAACGCTAGAAAATAAATTAAAAAATTAAACTACGATAGAATATAATTTTAAACTATAATATTTTCATATGATAATAAGTTTTATGTAATGGCAACAATGTTGAACTCTAATGTAATGAGGTCATTTTGTCAAAGAGATGTTACATCTTTTTCAAAACTGTTACAGAAACTATTTTTTTTGTTGTAACTATAAACTTTTAAATAAAACTATTAAAATATATAATTTAATAAAAAAAAAAAAAGAAGCAAATCCGAAACACTCAGCCCAACCTATTTTTACAGGTTCTATTAGCCATATGATATATAGTACTCCAACTCTTACTTTATTCAGTCTTGCGACAAAAAAAAAAAGAATAAAATTCAACATTTCCATAAAAATGTCTTACACATAATCGAAATGCAACCAACTCGAGTCACTTGATATTTACTTTGACATTGAAGTCACTCGAGTCACTTGATATTTACATACCATCCGAAAACCACCAAATCAGCTCGCAACAATAGCAAAAACCCCGATGTATGGATGTATGTGTGTATATGTGTCTGTCTGTCTGTATGTATGTATGTATGTGTGTATGTATGTATGTGTGTATGTATGTATGTATGTGTGTGTATATATATATATATATATATATATATATATATATATATATATATATATATATATATATATATATATTTATATATATATATATATATATATATAACATACAAAAAATTTAAAAATGCAAATACTTTCAATTGTAGATCATCTATGAGTTGCTTATCTACATCTTCATCTGAATCATAGTCTTCAACAATAAACATTTCATTCCAGGGTCTTTCTGTTGAACAAACCATACGAACCTTAAGAAAAAATACTTTACTGCATGTATGTATGTATGTATGTATGTATGTATGTATGTATGTATGTATGTATGTATGTATGTATGTATGTGTGTATGTATGAATGTTTGTATGTATGTAGTTTTAAAGGGCTACCTTTATGTGGCTATCTTTAAGTGCCAATAAAGCGGCAAACTTTGAAGCCAAGATATTAAAAAAAACAATAACCTGTAACTATTGTGACTTATGCATTTAAAAAAAAATTACCTTGTATTCATAAAAATGATCAATCATGGTAATAAAACGTCTCATTTCAACTTTCCTTCTAACACTCATTGCAGGAATATTTTCCACAATCACTGTCTTATATGAAGAAGCAATCGCAATATAGTCAGCAGCACCTAATGGCTAATTATTATAATTATTATAAATAATATTTGTAATAATTATAATTAGAGAGATTTTTTTAGTTAGTTTGTAAAACAATTAATCTGATTAAGTTTTGGCTTTTTAATTTTGGCTAAATGATAAAATTGTTCAAGGTAACTTATCTAGTTTATTATAACAATTTTTAAAGCTAAACAATTTAAGATAATAAATACAATAACAAAAATATCTGATAATTGACAGACTTTTTGGTTGCCTTGTAGCTTGACAAAAACAACTCAAACAACTTAGTTGCAAAGTTTAAAGGCCAACATTTCTTAACAAATAAAATATATTAAAATTTTAACTATTTTCAATTTAAATGTTTAACTAATTGTAGAAAACGGTAAACTATTTGTTACATCATTTTAATTTTAATTATTTTTAATAATATCAAAGTTAAATCATTAATACCATTAATAGTCAAAAATAATTTAAAATATATACGATATGACATAAAACAAATTGCGTAAAATAACAAAATACATGACACCCACTTCTATACATAATTCTTCAAATGTAAAGCGTGCTACAGAACCACATGCGTTTTTTATAATAAGCTTTCTCCCAAATACTATCAAAGTTTGTGGCGCTAATAAATGACCACCTATGGATAAAAATAGATATCATCAATAAAAAATGAGTGAAAACGTTACCAATAAAATCATACGCAAATATATTTATAATATTACCAACAATCAATTTAATATAAACAAAAACTATAAAACTTATTAAAAAAAAAAAGTTAAAAAAAAATATCGCCAATAAAAAAATAACATTACATACTCTTTCTTTCAATATTACAAAAAAGCTCAAACATCTCTGCAATTTTAATTCTAGTATTTTGATCAGACATAAGTAAAGATGAACCACCCCTTTCATTAACACCTAAAAATATTTTGATCAGACAAGTGAAGATGAACTCTTACTGTAACACCTTAAAACATTTTGAACTTTACTTTTGTAAAATGTATTAAATTGGGCTGAATGTATTGGGATGCTTTTTAAAAAAATGTATTTATTATCAATTCTTAATTTCATAACTAATTTTCAATATTATATTCACAATCATTATCTATGACCTCTTGCTAATGCTTAGGTAAAAAATGATTGACATTGAACTCTTAAGAATTTGAATTAAACAAGTGATTGAGGTGCTGTTAAAGTGTCTTCTCTTGTTAAATTCATTGTGCAAGCTATATATAGTAATCAGAACAATAACAATATGTTAAAGTCTGAAGAAAAAAACCCAGCTACAATAATTTTTGCATTAAATAATGTGAAGACATGAGTTGTCATTGATATGTGAAGACAGACGATGTCATTGATGGATTAAACTTTATAAAGCCCTCGGTATTAGTATCAGATACATTGTAATATTAAGATATAAAGATAAATTAACAGAAAATAAGAAAGGGTAGATAGTAATAAACAAATTGAATTAACTTACATAACCACCGATAGTCAATTCCAGAAGATAAGTGAATAACTTCACAATTTTGCTATAAAATCGTAAAACAAATCAGAAAACATGAAATATCAAAATGATAAAAAAGTTGTTAAACACAATGTTACTAACAAAAGGACTAAACTAATAAAAAAAAAGAAGAGGTATTGAACACAAGTTGTCAGGAACAAGAAACAATTTTAGAATGCATTTCCTACTCACACACACAGATATATATATATATATATATATATATATATATATATATATATATATATATATATATATATATGCATACTTGCACTTTAAAACCAGCATGAAAACTTATACTATTGCTAAAAACACCTTCTAAATGATGTTAGCAAAACAAATGTTGTAAACATTCATACATATTTGTTATTAAAAGCAATAACAAATTAATCTTACTTCAAGAATTGAGATAAAAGGAATAAAATCATGTCTCTGTAGTCCATTTTTGTATAATTCTAAAAACAATTATAGCAGTATTAGTTATAAACAAAAGCTTTATACAATAAATAAGGAAACAATATAAAACAAGAATATATAAGAAGACCACACAGGCAAAACCACAGATGTGGTTTGAAAATTTCTAGTTTTATATATTTTTATGATATTTTAGTACAAAGCTATTTTAATTTAAAAATTCTTAAAGAAAGATACACACATTCATACATACACACATACATACATACACACATACATACACACATACATACATACACACATACATACATACACACATGCATACAAAAATTCATAAATAAACATAAAAAAAGGGCAACTTTGAAACAACCACTGTTGTCCAATGTTTACCGCGTAAAAACACAGTTGTCCAAGTTAAACTAAACCAATAATAATAAAAGCGCAAGTCACATAACTAACTTTTTGGATGAAGTAAACAACATTACGTTCACAGAAAAACATTAAAAAAAACATTATATGTGTATATATATATATATATATATATATATATATATATATATATATATATATATATATATATAATATATATATATATATATATATATATATATATATATATATATATATATATATAAATTTACTTTATATATATATAAAATAAGTTGTTTTTTTTTTGACAAAAATTTTCTCTTGAATTATTTCAACTTTTATTTTAATTCATAAGGTGTACCTTTTGTATCCTAAAAAAATAGAAAATGGACTCAATAATATTCTGATTCTTATCTTTTTAATTGTGAAGTAATTTGCAAAATGCCTAAACGTTTGAAACCAATATGTATACTATTCCAGGCAATACCTGTTTTAACTAAGATACTTTTAATTCAAAAATTATATTTTTATTGCTATGAAACTGTTGGAAACAGATGGTCTGATGTTGTATGTTCTATGCTGCATGATTTTAAATTATCAATTGTCTCAAGTGTAAAGGATATCAGATTGATTTGCAATTTATGTGCTAAGCAAAATACAAAATGAAAAGTTTTAATTTGATTTTATTACCTAGTTTATAAAACTGAAAAACTTTACAGCATTACTGTTTCATTACCAATTAGAACTCTGTCACCTTATGTATAGGCATTAGACCCGCAAGCCACTGCGGTTAGCCACTAGCTGTCGCCAAGCACTGCTTTATTTTTAGCCAACTGTGAAAAATGCCTTCGCCAGCCATGAAATTAAGTAGCCGTAGCCAGCCGTAACAGTCATAGTTAATTGATTTTAATCTTTAAATTAGTTTATGTCCAATTTTAGGCATATAATTTTATCATATCGTCTACCAATTGTTTCGTAATAAAGTATTTGGTTTAACCATGGAATGCTGTAAATCAGTCTCGAGTAAAAATACCGTAAGTCTTATGTTCGAATACTTAATTTTTGCGCTATAAAAATGTTTTTTGCAGTCCGAAAACAGTAGTCATCGTTTATCATAAAAAAAAGAAAAGTGATCATCTGCGCAATATATATATATATATTTATATATATATATATATATATATATATATATATATATATATATATATATATATATATATATATATATATATATACATATATACACACATATATATATATATATATATATATATATATATATATATATATATATATATATATATATATATATATATATATATATATAATAGCCAGCTAAGCAGCCAAAGAAATAAGTTGGCTAGCCAGCCACAAAAATGTAGGCTAGCCGCTTATGCCATCAACTAGCTGTACGGAAATTTTTTTAGTCAGCCATGAAAGCAAAATTCTGTGGCTAGGAGGTCTAATAGGCATTACACCTCTAAAAAATATGACAGAACATTGGTAATTGCAAATCAAAATTTCTTGCAGACGATCTCACAAAAACTATAACAATTCAATATTGTATATAAACATGATACAAGAGAAATTGCTGAAATTTGCAGAGTTTCAAAGCCAAACTTCTTGGTTGTTTGTTTTTTTAAGACATGTTCACTTAGAGAAATTGAAATATTAAAGGTTATGAAATATTAAATGTTAAAGTTTAATTATATGGAAAAATGGAAATATTTAATTTTATGTGTTTAAATCAATGATCAAAGTGCCTGATAAACTGAAATAAGCATACATAGCTCTGTTCCCTTTTTTTTGTTAAAAATTTAAAGACTTACTAAAGCTAAACATTTTCTGAATTTACAAAATAAGACATTATTTTATCTTATTTGATCTTTTTTTTTTAATTCATTTTATTTTTCTTTGAAATTAAAAACAAAACATTTTTATTAACGTTCACAATTAGATTTTGTATGGTTTATACAAACTTGATATAAAGTGATGGAACACAGACATCATGGAATTATCTGTGGTAAATAGATGAGGAAGAGATAAGGTTGCAATGCTACTTTGTATAAAGTTAAAAAAAACTTTCATATAATATTTTGTTTGAATTTTTTTATTATAAGAGGGGGGGGGAGGGGAGTGAACTTTATTATTCCATCACACACTTAGTACATTGTAGTTGTAAATTACAATGTGTTACCATCTACCTTTAAAAAAATAAGTGCTCTAAAAGGTTACAACCTAACGTAATTTATGTGTTGAGTTTACAACGGAAAAATCACAAATGTCCAAAATGAGTGTCTTGTTTTCAAAAGTACACTGTGAATAAATAATACTTGTATTTGTATTGCACATAATACTTGTATTTGTATTGCACAAATAATACTTGTATTTGTATTGCACTTGTATTGCACAAATACTGCATTTTTATATTGTATAAGGACTAAAATGTCAGAAAAATAGACTTCAATTTAAATAAATTAATTATAAACAGATATCTAAAGTCACTAAACACTAAATTTCATTTTTCTCAAAATGAGAAAAATGTGACATCTGTGGTTTTACTTGTGTGGTCTACATATATATATATATATATATATATATATATATATATATATATATATATATATATATATATATATATATATATATATATATATATATATATATATATATATATATATATATATATATATATATATATATATATATATATATATATATATATATATATATATATATATATATATATATATATATATATATATATATATGTATAGTACTGGACAAAAGTCTGAGACCAAGGGTTGAAAAAGACTAAAAACTGATTTTAACCATAAAATTTTATTCCATGAACAACCATGTCAATTTTTTCCAATATAATTCATATTAGTAATTCAACATAATTCAGAACACAACAATTTATTGTCAGCATCACTGATGATGTGAGGAAAACTGATGAGTAATACAATTGTCATATATGTAGTATGTTGCACGCATAACTTCTTTGAACTTTATATAAACCATGCACTATATTATTCGGTTTTGCATTGATATTTGCGTTAGTTTATTACTGCGGGATGGCAAATAATAGATTACGTAATAGTTTATAGCAAATAGTAAACATGAAAGTGTCCTAGGATTGACGCATATCAGCGCTGTTGTGGTATTATGTTGTTATATACATGCATTACATACATACATACTGTATTGCATATTTATATAGTTATTGTTTAATGAATCTGGCATTTGCTGTTTGTGCTTCAAATTCTCATTTTCTAAAACTGCAGTTCATAACACAATTACTCGATTGCAGCAGACTGGCAGCTTAACTTCCCGAAAAAGATCTGGTAGACCAAAATGTACCTCTATGCAGACTGACTGCTTGATTCATCGCATTTGTACTAGTTTTCTAATGTCATCATCCACAGTAATACAACACAACTTGCCATCCTCTGTTACTGTTTCCTCCAGAACTATCAGACGAAGACTATCCTCTGATTTCAACCTGCATGCCCGGCGTCCTTCCATTAAACCTAGGCTTTCTGCCAAGAACATCAAGGATCGGATTGCCTTTTGTCAAAAGCACAAAGACTGGACAGCGTTGGATTGGGCGCGAGTAATGTTTTCAGATGAAAGTCATATAAAGCAGTTTGCTCCTCTTCATTCTTTTGTTTATAGACCTGTTAATCAGCAACTGAATCCCAAGTACACCAAATGCAATGTTAAACAGTGCCAATCAATCATGGTCTGGGCTTCAATTTCAACAAGAGGACAAGCAGGTATTTGGTTCATGCCTTCTAAAACAACCATTAATGCCAATGAATATCTGAAAATTTTGAAAAGCAATTTGCTTCAGTGGCTGCCTCTCTCTGGTTGTACAATCTTCCAGCATGATGGTGCACCATGTCACCGGGCAAAAGTGATTACTAAATGGCTTGCTGAGAAAAATATTCAGGTACTTTCTCCTTGGCCGGGACTTAAATCCAATAGAGAATTGCTGGCATCTGTTAAAGAAAAAGGTAGCCGCTTTAAAGCCATCATCATATGATGATTTGAAAAAAAAGATAATGTTGGTTTGGTCCAATGAAATCACTCCAGCCTATTGTGAAAATTTGATCAATTCTATGCCCAGGAGAATTACTGCTGTGCTAGCGGCTAAAGGAATGCCCATAAAATACTGACATGACATGGACATTTTGTGTTTTATTTCACAAAGTATGTTGTACTTATTCCAAGTAATATGAATTATATTGGAAAAAATTGACATGGTTGTTCATTGAATAAAATTTTATGGTTAAAATCAGTTTTTAGTCTTTTTCAACCCTTGGACTCAGACTTTTGTCCAGTACTGTGTATATATATATATATATATATATATATATATATAATATATATATATATATATATATATACATATACACATATACATATATTTGTATGTGTGTGTATATTCATTCAAACTTAGTTTAGTAGCATTGTTAGAAACATCAACAGACTCTTGATTAGAATCTTTTTCAATTTTAATATCATCATGTCAAGAAAATTTTACAATTGTCTTCATCATTGATGATTTGCTGGAAATGCAAACATAAAAAACTTACTAACTACAAACTAACTTACTGTCTACTAACTTGTCAGTAATGGGGTTAAAATCTGCATTAAATTTTGTTTTTAACAAATCAATTCAACAATTCAAGATCATCAATTCACTTTCACAAGGCCATGAAAACCACTACAGTAAAAGAGGCTACTTTAGTTGTGGTTTCAACCCCTCTCTAAACTCTATAAGTCCAAAATATAAACCTTGATAAACATGGCTGCAGTACGGAGAAACAAATTGATCTTTTAAGTTTTCCATTACAGTCTCCTCTACATCACAGAAAAAATCAAAGAAAGAAAAAATCACAGAAAACCTACATCTAAGCAACAAAAAGTTATTATCATTTATATGCCTTTTCACTTCTGATGATATTCTTAATTTTTTGAAACAAGTTTTTGTCTGGAATTCCATGATTTTGTTAGCGTAAACATAGCAGTTAAGATCTTAAAATTCAAGTTTCTTGTTCTCATTTTCCATGGCAACAATCTGCGTTTTTACTGTAAGTGAGCAATACCAAGTTTCTGCATGTAATGGAAAGAATTATCTATAACTAAAGCAAATTCTATTCAATGCAACCTTCAATGCAAAAACTTCTATGCAAACAAATCTATTCTTAAAACTAAACTTTAGGACAATTTTTTAAACCCACCCCTCAAATAATTCTGCTGACATAGTGACAAGGAATACTTATACAATTAAAAATATTAAAAGTTTTTCTCCTTAAACATAACCACTTTTCCATTATTATAAGAAAGGCTGCAAAACAGATCTATCAAACTATTGTCCAGTTTCCCTCACTTCTGTTACTTTTAAAAAATAAAATTAAAATTCTTTAGAAAATAATTAGAGATGAAGCCACAGAACATTTATCACATAATAATCTTATACCTTCTTGTCAAAACAGAATTATTACAAATAAATCAAATGTCACAAATCTTTTGAAAACCATGGATTTTACATCCTTTGCAAAAGCAAATAAAAAATTGAAAGATATTTCTCAGCTAAAGCTTTCAATAAAGTACCACATAAACCTTTATTATTTAAAGTAGAAAAATACAGTACCCTTATATATATATATATATATATATATATATATATATATATATATATATATATATATATATATATATATATATATATATATATATATATATTGATAAATTCTTTTCTTTCCAGTGGTTGACAACGGTTTGTTTTAGGAAAAACAACATCTGATTGAGTTCCTGTCATTAGCGATGTTCCTCAGCATTCTGTTTTGGGACCTACTTTAAAAAACCAGGTCATACTTCAATTGTTGTATTAATTGTTTAATACATTAAGATTCTGGTTTATTAAAGTCTTGCTTTATTAAACTTTTTTAAAATATTTAAATCCCCAGGGTTAGGAAAGTCAAAATCAGAACTTTTATAAAAAGTGTCTTGTCTTCAAATCATTAAATTTAACAAATTAAACTTCAAGTTGAAAGAAATTTTAACTTAAAGTTTTAATTGTAACTCTAAAAAATTACCTGATTGATGTCGGTTAGAAGTTGCAACTACTACTCTTAAAGCTTACCTGACGGATGTCGGTTAGAAGTTGCAACTACTACTATTCCAGCATCAAATAAGCCAGTAAACAAACGCTTTAAAATCAAAGCATCAGCAACATCTGTCACCTGCAATAAAATATGTTTTTAGATAAAAAATATTAAAAGTTACATTTAATATAATAGTATTTAAATGTACTAACAAAAAATTATAAGGGTTGATTATAAGATCGTGTCTATTTTCATAACATAATATAAAGGCCTCACAAATAATACGCTCATATTGTATATGGTTAAAGTATTTTATATCTAAAGATTGATAGACTATGACATATGTTTATCCAGAATTCAATTTGGCAATTTAAATAATATTTTGATTTGTTAATTATAAAAGTTTATCAAGCTAAATAATTTTTGTCTTGATCTAATTTTTAATAATCTTAAATAATTTTGATCTAGAAATTTTAGTCTAAATCTTAGAAATATCTAGCTAAATAAATAGCATAATTAAAATATCATACAAATATCTATAGTGTAACAAGTAATGTTTTAAATTAAAATTAAACTTAATTTAAAAATGCCACAAAATAAGTTCATTATTTGGACAATTCAATCCTGAAATCCCAACATAGGTTACCTAAAAAGATCTTCTTAAAGTAATAACAGACACAATATACATGCACAATATGGCACTGGTAATATTTTTATATTTTATGGTTGTTGATGGAGTCTTTTAGACCAGAGTTAAAGAATCCCTAATCCTAGCTGGCCTCAGAGCCATTAAACGGATCTTGCTACCAGACAGACTCAGAACCATTAAACTAAGTTTTAGAACCATACCATCATTAAGAAATAAATGTTGAAAAACCACTACCAAAAAGGCACAAGCAAAATTCCATGAGTCACACCAGCGCATCATGAGTCACACCAGCGCATCATGAGTCAAATCCAGCGCCTATAGTCATAGACAGATATAAATTAAAGTCAGATAATTATATAAAGAGATATAAAGCTGGGAAACAGAAACATTCTGATTAAGACAGTAGCCAATTTTTTTATTTATTTACCAATTTTATGCTAAAAAAATGTTGCTGTAATAAAGTCCTAGATTATGCTTGCCAAAACCCAAATCCTTAGTTGATGTATTTGTACCTAAAACTTAACTGATAGCTATTTCATTATAATATTATTAATGAGTTAACTTTAGGTTTAATTATAAATTTACTTTTATAATTAGTTTCTTACTTGAAATTCATCAAAACAAAGAAATGTAGTTTCTTTTCGAATATCTTTTACCACAGGAATAATAGGATCTAATGGCTTATCAATTTTATTGAAATGTAAAGGAACATTTTCTTTCTTAATTTGGTGAATTCCTAAAAAAAAGTATAATAAAATCAAGTAGAAAAATCAATAAACTTTTATTTGGTTTTTTGACAAATCAAAAAACCAAAAAAAATCAATAAATAAATCATATTAAAATAAATTACAAATAAAGTAAATAAATCATATTAAAATAAATTAAAAGTAAAATGAATAAATCATATGAAAATAAATTAAAAATAAAATCATATTAAAAAAAAATTCTTATGAAAACACATAAGAAATAACAAAAATACTCTTGTGTATATCCAACATAAATGCATTAAAGTGAACTCTTCTTTTTCTTTTTAATTGTACATTACTAAACAGCAAATCCATAATCATTGTTTTTCCACAACCTTACAATCATAAAAAATTATTAAAAAAAAATTATTTTATAAGCTACTCAAATTAACAAACACCAACAGATCCATATAAGTATGCTCCTTTAGGTTTGTTATAAGCTTATAAAATTAACAAATATCAAACTAAATACCAACAGATCCATATAAGTATGCTCCTTTAGGTTTGTTTTCAAGTTTTTGACCGAACCATTTCATTATTAAAGATTTGTTAGACGACTCTTCATATAATATGAGATGTTCAGAGAGCTTGTTCAATTTTTCAATAATTCTGATTTGATGGTCATCTCTATGCAATGTTCCATCTTGAAGTAATTTATTATATGCGTCTTTTGGTCCCTTTGGTACATTTAGAAATTCCTCACTATTATTTAAATCTGAATTCAATAACAAAAGAAATAATCTACAAAAGCGAACAAAGAATAAAAACATGATCATATAAAAAAATTTCAAAAAATACATATTTTTTTAAAATTAAAAAAAAATTACTCCTTGAAATAAAAAAAGTCAATCGACGTCCATTTAAATATTGATGCAGTTTTCTCAAACTCATTTCTTCTTGACAGACTTTAACATTTTTTTGATTTTCAAAAATTTAACAAAACAGATGTTTGTTTAAAATTGATTAGAATTTACGGAAAAACCATAAAAACCATAGAAACCATAGAAAACAAAAGACCAAAGTATTTTGACCAAAAGTATTTTGAAAACTGATTAAGTGCTAAAGAAGCAAAAATTACAATTAGGTGCAAAACAAAGCATTAAATTAAAGAAAATAAAAAATAAAAAAGATATCAAGAAAATAAGGAAAAAAAGAAGATTTGATTAAAGAAAAATTAAGTAAATATTTAAATAAAATTATTTATAATAAATTGAAAATTTTCAAAGATACTAAAATGACATCATTTTTAATACAAATGACATCATAGTTCAAACTTGAAGCAACACAGCATTGTTAAACTTAAGTTACATTTATTAATAAAAATAAATAAAACAGCAAAATTTTCTCAAAATTATATTATTCAGTCTGATAAGAAAAAACTTTATTCTCCTGACCAATGAGTTATTGTAGATTAAATTTGAAGAGTTGCTTTTACAAAAATCAAATTTATCATTTAAATTCTTCCTTCCATTTACCATCATCTGTCTTTACAGGAAACTTTGTTGGCCAGTTATCAAACTTGCGAACAAACTCTCCATCTTTCGAAGGAAATATAGTCTTCATTTTAGCACCAAATTCTTGACTCTTATTTGAAATACAATAATCAAAAATAAAATACATAATTTAAAATTTTTATTTTATATTTTAATACTATTATATACTATTTTATATTTATATATTTATATTATATATGGAATAAAGTTAATAATAAATGCCAACCCAAAAACTGAAGCCAACCAAAAATATAAATGAGGTCAGCAAAAAACGGAGACTTCAGACACTTCTAGGTTGGCACTTAGGTTGGCATTGGTAAATGGCAACCCTATCTATAATTATTGTTCTAATAACAGTAGTAGTGGTAAAAAAAAATAACTGCAATATTCAGGGGTGAGGAACTTTGAAAAAAATGTTTCTCTCCAGCTCTGACTCCAAGTTTATTAGAACTTACAGTTCTGGCACAAACTTTTTATGACTCCAAATATTTTGCTCCTTTAAATGTCTTTTAAAGATTTCAAATTTTGGGAATATATCATAAATAGTAAATGGTATTTACTAAACACCATTACCAGTTTTTTCAATTTATTTATAAATTAATAAAATAATGAAATATTAGATGAAAATTATGTTGAAAGTCTTAGTTTATTTACTTTTTATATTTTATACTGAAAATTACTTTTATATAGAAGTTCAATAAAAACTTTATTGTATAACATATTGCAACTTAACACTTATACACTTAATGTTTTAATAAAACAACTTAACACTTATACACTTAATGTTTTAATAAAACAAATATAAGAAATATATAAAGCTGAAAAGAGCAAAGGAGCTGGCAGCTTTTTATTGGCTTTAGCTCAAGCTCCATTCCACTCTTCTGGCACCTTTTAAAAAGCTAAGGCTTCCACGGCTTTGGCTCCCCACCCCAAATAATAACAGCAATAAAAAATATATAATTATGATTATTAAAAAGTTATATGTTTCATTATTTATAAAAGAACATATTTATACATTGTTATGCCAAAGCAATAAACCTACATTTTTAACACCAAAAGCCTTTGCAACAAAAACAACAAGAAGTCCACAAGCAGAAACACTAATTAATGATCCATACCCAAGCGCTTTAAATGCAAGTTTTGTTCCATCACTATTAGAGTCAAAACTTTTTGGGCTAGACTTTCGAGCTCTTGCAAGTGTAAGACCAAATCCAGCAAACATCGCTGCTGCACTCACATATAACAAAAATGAAGCAGATAAAACATTCTTTGATAAATCTGTTTTTGCTTCATTTAAGTCTTTCGATGCATTGTTCATATTTTTATTTTATTTTTTACAACAAGCTAGCTTATATTTTTTCATAAATAGGAAATAGTTTAAAACATTAATTTAATGTTAAAAAAACTAAAAAAAAAAAAAAAAATCTATTATTTGAAACATTAAACAATATTTTAATCTAGAAAACTAAGCAAGTCAAAGTTTAAGCAATAGTGATAATTAAGCCAATCAATATAAAACATTCAAGCCAAAAATATCATAGTAAAATAAAGGAAGACATATCATAGTAGAAAATGGATACAACACATATATAAATAATCAAAACAAATTTTTTTTAGCTCTTATCAAAAGCTTCGTTAAAAACATCTTCATAAGTAGAAACAAACTTCACATTAATATTTTCTTTTATAAAATCTTTTAAATCATCATAGTCTTTTCGATTCGCTTCTGGAAGAAGAACAGTTTCGATTTCTGATCGACGAGCCTAAAAACAATAAAATATTTTGACTAAGATATATATATATATATATATATATATATATATATATATATATATATATATATATATATATATATATATATATATATATATATATATATATATGTATATATATATATATATATATACATACATATATATATATATATATATATACATATATATATATATATATACATATATATATATATACATACATATATATAAATATAAATATATAAATAAATATATATATATATATATATATATATATATACACTTACTAAAGCGTGTTTTGATAAGTATTTGCTCACTTTTTCTGCTTACCTTAAGCTATACCGTTTTTTTCGAAAAAGAAGAAAAAACGAAGAATGATGAATAAAAGGATTGCTTCCCCATCCCAAACCCTCAGTTGATGTAGCAGCACTCCACTGCGAGTCAGGCTATTTGTCAGTTGATGTATGTACTGAAGCCCCCAGCAGCAAGCTAATTCAGTATGACGTCAGATTGCTTAACCTTAGTACACAATACTATTTGTATATATATATATATATATATATATATATATATATATATATATATATATATATATATATATATATATACATACAATATAACTATTGAATATATATATTGAACATTTTAAGGTAGGAAATTATATTAAAATAACTGTTTGTCATACAATTTTTTACCTTAAATATATAATTTTCAACCTTAGAAGATAGAAAATTATACCTTACTAAAGATTTTAGACAAGATTTTGCACCTCATTTAGAGGAATTTTATTTGCAAAACTACAAAACTTTGAATAATAGATAAACTAAAGCTAAATATATGTTACTGTTACCCACAGTACCAGGAATTAGCTAAATGCTAATGTTTATAATGTAATATTGCAACTCTGAGTTTTATGTGTTACCACAATGTTCATGCAAGTTCTTGTAAGGTGCATGGTCTTCCAGCATTTTTTGTCAGGTCAGGCATATGGTCTTCATAATCGCACTGCTACTGGTAACAGGTAACCCAGTGTAACTGGTTTTATGTCCTGCCTTGCATTCTTATGTTTGCTTTCTAAGCAAAGGATGGAAAGAGTTTTCATACTGTCATCTGTACTATTTAAAATCGATCATGCCTATAGTAATACGCAACGTATTAACAACCAACGTAGTGTTGGTTCACCTATAAATTACTTTATATACGTATGCTTATGTTCGTCTAAACCTCTGGCGCAGTGTTTACTTACTCGTAAGTTGCTTTATGTTTATATATGTTTTATTTAATCTTTTAGATTTTCTGTTTAAATATTTAAACTTGTTTTGATGCAGTGTGAGCTTATTAACTAACTTAACACCTAACTATAAAACCTGTGCTCACCTTAGTCTCTAGTATTTTGTTAGATGTAATATTTTTCTTAATGCATTTCCAAAATATCATGTTTTAAGGTACTGTTTAAAGGAAGTAGCTCCTTTTAATTATTCTAGGTCAGGTTTAGGATCATCACTATCACCCTGCTATTGGTATTATGTAACCCAGTACTACCTGCCCCATGCCCTCCTGCTTTGTAGATAACAAAAAATCCCCTGCCTTGGGGCTCTTGGTTAAGTAAAGGCTATGTTAATGCTTTTGTTGCGGATTGTCAAGGCCACATAAGTAGCCCTATGTTATGACTGACTAAATTAGACTGAAAAAATTGCACAGCTTATTGCTAAGGAGGCCGTGCTCTATCTATGAATGAGTAAAGTTCTCTTTAAACTTAAAACATGCAAAAATATTAAACATAAAAAACCATCCCCACAACCTAACTGTTCTGATCTTTTAATATATTCGTGGTCTGCAAAGCAACCTTCCATAAGTTTAATCTAACTTTTTGCAAAGTTTACTAGATGTGCTTGCTCTTTGTGGCACTAATTTAAATTCTGCTATATCTTCTTCTGATCTCAGTGTTGATAGGTACTATGCTATATTTTTTGGACGTAATTTCTGATCAAATTCCCATGCCCTCTCTCTTTACCCTACTACTGATATTGTTGTTATTGGTGACTTAAATGCTCATCACACTGAATGGCTTGACTCTAATGCCACTGATACTGCTGGCACTAAAGCCTTCTGCATTTATCAATCTCTTACTCAGACAGTTAACTTTGTGACTCATTTTTATACAACCTTAATCATTTACCTTACTTCTTGATTTATGTCTGGTCTCCGACCAGCTTGCGATCAGTTTCTCCTTTTTCTTCTTTAGGTGCTTCTGACCATACAATGATCTCATTAAATTTTTCATCTTGTAGTACCTTTTTGGACTCTCTATCTTCGCACTACTTTCTATTACCCTAAAGCTGACTGGGATTCTTTTTGTGATTTTCTTTGTGACAGTCCTTGGGCTGACGTTTCCTCTAAGCTGAAAAATGCGCCTCCTATGTAACCTCCTAGAGTCAGGTAGTTGGACCACTCTATCTGCTAAGCTTAAGCCTCTTTCCCATAGTTGTGAAGTTGTATCTCTTTTTCTTTCCTAAAAATACTATCATGGTCACTGCTCAAAGGTGCTATCATCTCTAGTTCCATTAACTAAAACTCATTCTCGCTTGACTCGTCATTCAGCAAAGTCTTATTCATCATCTTCATATTTTCCTGACTCATACAACCTTTAACTTTAAGTCTTCTGACAATTTTTTCTTTCAGTTATATTTATACTTTAATAAATTTAATTTTATGAATACATATATACTCAAATATATAGAATAAATTACCAATAAATCAAACTTCCAAGGAAACAATAAAATAGTTCATATTTTCAGGACATTCTGTAACTTGATCATTTACAAATCAGTAAAACAATTCAAGCTTTCAAAAGTTTAATAATCAATTCAATTTGAAAAGTAAAAAAAATAAATCATAAATTAATGTAGAAGTAAATAATTTAGCAGCAGTGGCGCAGTTGTTACAATTCTGGCTCAGAACCAAGAGGTCAGATATATGTTGGCCAGATAAGCAAAGGTAAGGAAGAATACATAGTTTTCCTAGTTAAACACTACTCCGCTGTGCTCTGTGATAAGACCATAAAGACTTCTTGAGGCATCTTAATAATAGTTATTTAGCCAATTTAGCCAATAAAAGTTATTTTGTCTTAATATATTCTATTGTAAGATTCGCTTTTCAAGATAAAGACTAGAAGAAGTTAACTCTAACTTAAAATACCATCTGACTTGGGGCTCTTGATTAAGTAAATGTTTGAGATGATGTTTCAAAAAAAGTTCTTATCTTAGATGTCAACTACATCTTGCTACTGTCTTGTTAAAGTCTAGGCAAAGACTTGAGAAGTAAGCAGAAAAATTTTGTTGACCAGCCCTGCACCTTTTCTTTATTTCATAGGTTGGCATAGAAATTTAATTATATTAAAAGTAATTATTTGTCAAACAACTTTCTACCTTTAAGGTATAATTTTCTAAGAGTATATCATGTATCACGTGATATACTCTTAGAAAATTATACCTTAAAATTTACTCTTAGAATTTTCTAAGAGTATATCACCTTACTAAGAGTATATCACATATCCTAACCTACGATAGAAACTTCTACCCTTTTTTTATTAGTGTGCAATACCAACAATGAATGTTGTGCAAAAATATTTTTCTATTTTTAATATAAAGTAAAAAACTTATTCAGTAAAGAAAAAAAAACTATTAAAAAAAAAAACTGGTGCCACTGCATAACAAATGTTTCTCTTACTTTCAAAAGCAATCTCACTTCCTCTTTATTCTTGTTCCGAAATTGAGGGTATTTTTTAATTGATGTTTTTTTTTTAAGCTTTCAGCTAATTTAATGCAAAACAAAAACTACGAACTTGTATATACAGTCATGTATATACCTCTACCAGTCTCTTAAGGCAGAACTATTTGCAAAAAATGTTTCCATGTATTTATCAAGTGGTTAACCAAATTTTGTTTTTCGGCTTTTTGGAAATGGCATTTGTGATTCTTTCAAAAGCTCTGAAAATCTGACCCCCCTACCTATTGCCCAATCAGAAAATTATTGCCAAACTTATTTCTATTATTAGGTTCGCCTAACTTATTCTTATTATTAGGTAATTCTCTGAATCTATAATTAAGAAAATTCTATTATTTCATCTTGATCTTAACAATTACTCTCTAAAAATCGATACAAATTTCAATCCTGTAATACCGTTTAATTCCTTACTTTTATAAACCTTGTATTTATCCTTGTATGGAATACTGTTGCTATATTTGGGCTAGTTTTTCTAATGAGGCTTTTTCTCTTACAGAAAATACCTCTAATCACATTTTAAATGTTGTTGGATCTGCTCCAGTTGTTAAGCCTCTGTCTAAGCCTCTGCTTCATTGTTCCACTTTTTTTTTTTTCTGCAAACACTACCATAGTTGTTGCTGAAGCAAGTTGTTATCATTTTTATCTACTTGTACTTTTTCTGTATTTTTTCTTTCATGCTCAAAACACTTTTCAAGTTATTTTTTGCAAACTGGTTTTTCTGGTGGTTTCTCTCCCCCACTTTATATTTTCATAACTCATACAACTTACATTTTTTTAAATCCTCTGTCAACCACTTTCTTACACTTTTTTTTGCTTTATGTTAACTTCCAACAATTGTAGTTATTTGCTTTTTTGTTAGAAGTGAACTCATTTAAAAATCAAATGTATAGAAAAAGTGTTTTTTTTGTTAGTAAACAATTCATTAAGTTTTGGTCAGCAGAAATGACATTTTCAGATGTCGTACCCAGAGGTTAAAAAACATCAAATTTTTTTGTTTAACTTTAAAGATCTTTAAATACGAACAGTATGCCATCTTTCACGCTATCCAATTAGCTTTTATTTTTATATATGTACTTGCAAATTCAATTCTTTTTAGGGCAAAATGACAAACATAAGAATTTTAGCATATTGAAGGTCGAGTGACTATATATATATATATATATATATATATATATATATATATATATATATATATATATATATATATATATATATATATATATATATATATACATATATATATATATATAAAGCAAAAGATAGTCAAGCCAGTAAACAAAAGTAAATCTCAAAATATTTATTACTAAAAATATATATATATTTTTTTCCAAAAAATACACTAATACGAAGCATTTTTATATAATTAATTAAATAAACTTTAAGCACTAGAGGCCTTTCAAAAAATCATCAGTAGTGCTGTTTTGGTATTGTAGCAAGATTTTTGTATACAAAATAAATTTAATTACATATTGTTGCTATGAGTAACTATTTTGATAAATTCAATTCTAATAATACACTAATAATTTACAGACGAGGAGGCTACTTAATTATGATTATAACCCTCTCTCAACTCTATAATTTCAAAACACAAGCCTTGACGAACAAGGCCGTTGCGCTGAGAAACAAGTTGAGCACGGTACTACCAAGGACATGATAGGAATTGAACTCAGAACCTCTCACTTATGAAGCAAGCACTACACCACTACCGCATGTTTGGTTAGACCTATCTTCTTCAAATACAATCTTAAAAAAAAACTGTTTCTTCCATCAATCAAGCCAATCTTCAATCTGATGTTTGTAACCTTTTGACATTATTTTTCTAGCTTCTTTTTTTTCTTGGCCTTCCTCTGGCTTTTTATAGTTTATTTATAGTTTAATGCTATTTAAAAATAAGAATATTTTTTGCAAACCTTTTCTTCTTTAATTTTCCTTGAGTCTGAAGACTTGAAATTAATCAATATTTTTATGTAAATATAGCAACTTGAGAATTTGACAATTATTTTGTATTAATACATTTGTATTTTTTGATTGATTTTGTATTTTTTTGATTGATTTTGTATTTTTTTGTTAGCACCTACAGTAGCAGTTGTAATATGGAAACCGAACAAATTCTATTATATTCCATTGCATGTTAGTATAACTTATAAAATAAGTTACTATTTTATTCAAATATCAAAAACATTTGAATATTATTTACACTACAATGCAAGGTCTTTAATATGTTTTAAACAAAGTTCTATGTTTTTTGTTGCAAAACTTTGCTGTACAACTCAGTTGAGGGTTAAAGTAAATACACAGCATACTAATAAGAAAAAATTTAATGAAAGAAAAGTAATAACATTGACTTTTTTGCATATATATTGTGATTCTTGGTTTTTGTATAAAGAGACAAGAGAATAATAAACTAAAAAATGAATGAAGTAATATAATACTTAAATTGTATTTTCAGTAAACTCAAGTAAAGTTTTTTGAAACACTTTTACAAAAGAAATCTGAAACACAAAAAAGAAGATGTTTCTTTATTATTAATCAACATCCCTGTTATATATTTACAATTTTTCCTTATTATTTTTTGATACCCTTACACTGTTATGTTTCATCTAGCATGTCATTTTAGCATCATATTAAATTTTTATTAATAAATTATATAGTTATTATAATACCATTTTTACACACTTGGTACAACAAGTACATTTTAAACGAGCATTTTTTAGCTCTTGTGTCTATTTACTGCAACCAACAGTATGTGTAAATATATTTTTTTTATTGATGAACAATTAAACAATGAACATTTTTTATGTAAAAGCACAAACACTTTTAACTCATGTGTATAAAATGTCTGATGTAAAAATTATTTATACAAAAAATTTAAACTTACAGCTATTAATTTTTCTTTTATTCCACCGACTGGCAAAACCTAAAATGACAAATATATTATTGAATAAGAACTTTTTTTAAACCAGCATAATTAACAAACAAGCTTGTATATTTGCAGCAAAACAGCAAAAATGATGTTCTATGATAACTATTAGTTGCTATGGTAACTATAGCTGCTTGTTAAATTTTAGTAAAACTGTTGCTAGTAAAGAAATTGATTTGTACCTGGCTAAGTATTCATAACCTGATTGTTGAAAAAGTTAAATTGAAGGAGGCTGTTAACATTCATTTTAAAATAAAAACATTTGAAATGAGTATAGATGGATAGAATCTATATTGGAATAATATTACAAGTTGATTAACTCTTTTTTTAAACTTAAACTTTTGGATACAATCTCCATGTTTTCTTTTTAAATTCAAACTTTTGGATACAATCTCCATGTTTTCTTGTGTCACACATCAAAGAATAGCAATTGTCTTGTAGCCTAAAGACTAAAACTCTTATTATTGTACTATGATAAGAAAAGTAAGACTAATGGTATTTATGGTCATTAACTATTTTGTACAACATTTCGTATGTCATACAAGTACAAGTTCAAGTACCATTTTTAAGATGAGAGCACAAGGTGTGATAGATTAGAAGCAGGTGTGATAGATTAAGATGTACATAAATTGTATAGAAGTTTTTCCAGATTTTTTCTTCTCTGCTAGAAAAATTTGCTTTAAAGTTTTTAACATTTTAATCAAATGTTTACATTACAAACATTAAGGGCTTTTTCCAATGTTGATTTTAGTTTTTGATTTAATAATCAAATTTTTGATTTAACAATCTGACTTTGACTCCACTATTTGAATAATTTTTGTCAATGATAAAGATGCATAAGGTAAATTTAGTTTGATTAAAGTGTATAAGTTTACATTTTTTTTTAAAGTTAAGTTGCAATTTTCTCTCCAAAAACATTAATTTAAAACATTAATTAAAAAATGTTAACATTAATTAAAAACTGATTTGGATTTGAAATTTGGAGAAAATAGATTGATTTGATTCGAAAAAAGATAGGAAAGAAGATATTAAGTAATGCTTACTTTAGTAATACATAAGCTTACTTTAACTATCTTTTCCATTTTACAGAGTGCAGAAGTAGAAATCAGTTTGTAGTTTTAAGGTAATCTTGAAGCTATTTTTAAACAATATTTGCTCTGACACTAGAGTTGACCTGACAAAGAAAACAAAGTGTTGATATAATTACTAACATTACCTTTTGCTAATAACTTAGGAAAAAATTTAAATTGTTTTTGTTGTTAAAAAAAAAAAAACGAATTACAACTCAAGTCTTTTTCTTTGCAAAATTTCAAGTTTTTGTACTCATTAACCAATGTTATTTTTCTTTTAATCAAATTTGCAATTATAGTTGAGTAACTAAAGCTTCTTATGTTTGTATAAGAAATGCATGGAATAAATTTTGTATAAAAGAGATGCATGGAATAAGTTTTGTATAAAAGAGATGCATGGAATAAGTTTTGTATAAAAGAGATGCATGGAATAAATTTTGTATAAAAGAGATACATGGAATAAATTTTGAACAGCCTTTGCTGTAGGTAAGTTGATAAATATTGTAGTGAATTTAGTAGCCTTCATCAAACTTTTGATTTTTTTGTTTATAGAGGGATTTATTGTTTGAATTTTTTGTTTGGTATTTGTTAGTTTCTTTCAATTTTTTTTTTTAAAGTCTATTGACAACTCTATTGGCAACAATTTTTCGGGTGACACTGATACAGCAAACCAGGGCTGTGGAGTCAGAGTCGTTAAGCAAAATCGCAACTCTAACTCCAATAGTAAAACTTCTCAGTATTGCACGTGCATATACAAAATATTCAATTAACCTTATATTCATATTAAACCTTTAAAGAACTTTTTATAAACTTGGCAAAAAAAAATTTTTTTAAATTGCATCATATTTTTTAAAGAATTCAAATAATTTTTCAAAAACTTTGCATTGGAATGGGAATTGGAGTCAGACTCTGAAAATTTCAATAATTGGAATCAGAGAATTTTGTGAAAAAAAGAAATTTGCGCTAACACGCAAAAAAAATTTCAGCGCATTTGCGCTGAAATATTTTTTTGTGAAATAATTTTTTAATATAAATAACTATGAAAAGACTAGAATACACAACAATCTAAAAAAAAAACTTAAAACCATTATGATCACATAAGAAATTTTTTTTTTACAAAATACTGAGATTTACCTTGCGCTCAAAGCCAAATAATTTAAAAACAATTTGGGGCATTTTTCGGGGTATTTTTCCACTTGAGCACAAGGTAAACATCAATATTTTTGAAATTTTTTTTGTAATCGCGTTTTTTTAATATTTGCCCTAAATTTGGCTCCTTTTGTATTCGCGTTATGAAAATTTTATTTTTTTGAACACCCCTAATGTATTTATGTATCAAATTATGTTATAATAATGCTTAATAAAGAATGTTTTTAAATTAATAAATCAAATATGTGAAATGTTTTTAAATGTTATGAAAAAAACACAATAAAAAATATAAAAAAAATTAAATCTTTTGAAAAGCATTTTAGATTTTATAAAAATATATTGAAGTTTATATTTCCTAAAAAACATCCAATCAATTTAAATCTATACAATAATTACCTTGCCAGTGAGAGACAATTCACCAGTCATTGCTAAATTTTGTTTGATTGGCTGATTAATTGCAAGAGAAAGTAAAGCAGTGACAATTGTACAACCAGCTGAGGGACCATCTTTTGGAGTAGCTCCTTCTGGTACATGCAAATGTATTGCGGATCCATCAAAAAAGGAGTTAGATGAATCTTTTTTATTTAAGAATGACTAAAGAATATTTTTATAAACACATTATTTAGAAATATTTAGAAAATGCTGAATTTTCTCTGACTCCAAAAAAAATCAAAATAAAATTTACTTTAGCAAATGTGTAAGCAATCCGGCAGCTTTCTTTCATAACATCACCGAGTTGGCCTGTAATCTCTAAAGAACTCACAAGTTTTTCGTTTGAATCTTTCTTAATTTTTCCAGTAGTCTCAATAAATAAAATAGAACCTCCTAAAAAAATTTGATTTTTTCACATTTTTTTTCCTTTTTTTTTACGACAAAAAAAATAAATATAAATTTATAAATAGTATATACTGAGGAGTCATCTATAAAGTATATCTGGCTATTTTTGTCAATTTTTGAACCCTCCTATAATTTCTGTCACCATCTGTTCTGTAAAATTCTCCCACCACCTCCAAATAGGTGTCACATAGTTTTATCCCAGAACTATTTTTTAATAATTTTATTACATAATTATAAAAACAAACTCTTATATAAATGTATAATAATATATATATAAATGTTTAAAATACATTAATGTATATATACTTAATAGATTTAAAAAGATCATAACCATAAATGGAAAATTTTTATTTAATAATTTTAATGTATTAATAAAAATAATGCTTCAAAATAAAAATAAATATTGGTAACAATAAACAAGATATCTAGTTTACTTTTAACAAAATGGTGGATAACAAGGTTAACCACTCTTCAATGACGTGGATTTTTGTCTCTCCATTCATTGTGTTAAAGACAATAGACTTTATCATGTTACCTTTACTATCTCTGAACCATTAGCAAAAGCAGAGGAGGACAAATGTTTTCTTAATTGGATTTAAGTTGGACCTGGTGGTGTTATTTAACTTCCTATTTTTGAAGCCCATAATTTTAATTTAAATCTCAACAAAGAACAAGCTTGCAAGTGTAAACAAAGTTCCTGAAGTACTTGATATCTTTATTTAATCGTTGAGTCAATTGTGTTTGAAAAATCTGGTGTCACTTTGTTATCAAGTGCAACTGATCCATGTAAAGCAATAGTATCAATAGCTTTTAGTAAAAATGCTCAATCAATTTTACTAGGAGCTTTATATGTATTTTTCTATATTACAATTCCGGATAATTTTGTTAGGATATCTTAAGTTGATGATTATTAACAAGGTATAGTTATTGCATTACCTAGAAACTAATAAATGCATCTTTTTTCTTCTTGGCAATAGCATTATATTCTCTCAACACAGAATAAATTTTTGTAGAGAAAAAAAATCTTTAGATTTCATTTTGTTTCAAATCTTGGCAACTTCCTTTTGTTAATCTTGCTTTCACTTTTGTTTTTTATTAAGATACATATACCTTAACATAGACATTTATACCTTAATATAGTAGTACTTTATGTAGTAACATAGTAACATAATAACATTTATATCTTAAGTAGTAACATAGTAACATAATAACATTTATACCTTAAGTAGTAACATAGTAAAATAATAACATTTATACCTTAAGTAGTAACATAGTAACATAATAACATTTATACCTTAAGTAGTAACATAGTAACATAATAACATTTATACTTTAAGTAATAACATAGTAACATAATAACATAGTTAACATAATAGTTAAATTTGAATGACTAAATAATTAATAAAACTGGCTGATGGAAAAATCTTTTTCTTTAGTTAATAAAAAAAAAAAAAACCCTAAAAAAAAAAACCCTCACCCCTTAGTCACACATTTTCTTAAATATCATTTCTCCTAACCCCCATTTTTTTCCAAGAGTTTGAAGTACTTTATGGATGACCCCTTATAAAAAACAATTATAATGGCATGAAAGTATTTACCCATTGATGTCCATGCAAGACCAGTGGCCACCCCGGGTGGAGTTTTATTATACATTCTCTCTGCATTGAATATAGGGTTTCCAACGTATTGCTTTAAAAGATCTGGTGCAATTTGAATATAATCTTTTTTTTCTATATATTTTAGTGCTGCTTTACGAAATATCTAAATTTTTAATTTGTTAATACTTTACCCGAAAAATAATAATAATAAAAAAAGAAGAACAGTTGGCAGAACAAAACACATAAAATTAAAATTAAAAAAAAATATTAATAAAATACTTTTTCAATATGCTTTTGTAAATTTCTGACTCCACTTTCACGACAGTATTTCTGAACTAATACTTTCAATGCTTCCTTACTAATATCAATCATTTCAGCATTCATACCGGTTGTTATACGTGCTTGAGGAATTAAGTATTGTTGGGCAATACCAATTTTCTCATCTTCAACATAACCAGATACTTCAATAATCTCCATTCTATCTCTTAAAGGAGCAGGTATTGTCTCAACATTATTAGCTGTGCATATAAAAAGAACTTTAGACAAATCGACTGGAACATCAAGATAATAATCTAAAAAATTATGATTCTGTTCAGGATCCAACAGTTCAAGAAGAGCAGATGTAGGATCGCCTTGTACCCCTCTACCAATTTTATCAACTTCATCAATCAAAATAAGGGGGTTTTCTGTTCTAGTCTTTTTCAAACATTGAATAACTTTTCCAGGCATTGCTCCAACATAAGTCCGTCGATGACCTTTAATTTCTGCTACATCTGTTAAACCACCAACACTAAAGCGAAAATATTCACGATTTAAAGATCGAGCAATTGACTTTCCGATACTTGTTTTACCAACGCCAGGTGGACCTTTTTAAAAAGTTAACATAATTTAATTTTTTTTTATACTTTATATAGCGTTAAAAGTTTTATTTTTAAAATAAAATAAAAAACATTAAAAAAAAAATCTCAAACAAAATAAATATGAAAAGATATCAATATATAAAATAAACAAACTAAAAACCTTACAAATAATAATAAAAAAAATTTGTAAAAAACAACTTTTAAAAAACCTGTAAAGCAAAGAATTTTTCCTTGGATATTTCCACTAATTTTTGTCACTGCAATGAACTCCAAGATTCTATCTTTAATATCTTCTAGACCATAATGATCATGGTTTAATATTTGAGCAGCTCGCTTTAAATCTAGGATATCTTCACTGTGTAAGCCCCAAGGAATATTTGTTAACCAATCAAGATAATTTCTTGTTACACTACACAAAATTATCACAATAAAATTTTATATAATAAATTTTGCACAAAATATAATATTGGAACTTAAATTTAATTATTAACTAATTGTTTAATATATTTGTAATATTATAATTTTATTATTTATTCATAACAATTTTTTATCATAAAATTATATTATATTATTATAGTTTTATACTTATATATTTTATATTTAAGGATTTTATAAAATATCTATAATTTTTTTTTTAATGTTATTTTTTAATTTTAATTACTTATACTAAAAGTGCTTTTTAATTTAGTTTTTATTTAGTTGTTTTATAAATTATTTTTGAAATCTATGTTTGTCTAAACACTATTTAATTTTGAAATTTTTTGTTTTCAAAAACAACATTTGTTGTGGTCATAAAACAATTTAGTAATTGATTTTTCCTAACTTTCCCCTTTTTTGCTTATATCTTTCGTATCTTTTAATCACCTTTAGAATTTTTGCCAAACTTTTATTCCATTTCTTGTCATGAAACTCTTATTGTTTCACGTTCTACTATTATTCTTAATTTGAATTTTTGTAAGATATTTATAAAAATTTATCAAAAATTAAATCTTATTTTTTCTTTTATTTTTAATTTTGACAAAATGCAATAAATATAATAATTATATTTGAATAAAAATTTGAAAAATAAAAAAAAATTATTACATTATGTACCCATGTTACATACTTACATTATGTACTCATGTTACATACTTACATTATGTACTCATGTTACATACTTACATTATGTATTCATGTTACATAAATACATTATGTACTCATGTTACATACTTACATTATTTATCCATGTTACATACTTACATTATGTACTCATGTTACATACTTACATTATGTACTCATGTTACATACTTACATTATGTACTCATGTTAAATACTTACATTATGTACCTATGTTACATATTTACATTATGTACTTATGTTATTTATTCACATTGTTTAGTCACATTATGTATTCACATTAAAAACAAATTTTACTAAAACATTATTCTGTGCAAAGATTTCTCTATTCTGTGCAACTTCTGCTGTTTTACTTTTATCATAGTATCCTTATTTTTTTTATTCTAGTAATTAAAAATATTTAACTAGACCAAGAAGGCCATGTTGAGAAGCTTATACTATATCTTGGAAAAATTAGTCAACTTGAGTTAAGTGCTGTAAATGAATAAACAGCAAAAACAAAGAAATTTAAATTAAACTTCAATATGAGGTTTTATTAAAAGAAGTAATATCATAATCAAATACTTAATTTTTATACTTTTAATTAAATTTAATTCAAAAATTGATTTGTGCAACACAATTGAATAAAAATAAAACATAAAATATTAAATAGATTTTTTTTAACATTAATTCATTTAACAACTTGAAACTAGGTACAATTAATTCATTGAATTTTACCAAAATCTTTTAAACAAATTTCTTAAAAATAAAACATTTTTTATAAAAGTGATCATCCTTGATTAGTCATATTATTATTAGAGATTGTCCATAAAGTATGAATGCTTAGAGAGAGGATTATTATTATGTTTGTGAAACTTTTTTTATTTGTGTAACCTTTTGCAATCAATTTCAATTAAAATTTTTACCTGAACTCAGAGGAATGGTTGTCTAAAAAGATTAATTTATTTATTTCTTCTTCAATGACTTCATTGACTTTTTCTGGTACTTTAAGATTTTGTAGGCGACTACGAAACTTTTCAACAACAGTCTCCTTGTCATCTTTCTCCAAGCCTAACTCTTTTTTAATAATTTTAAGTTGTTCTTGAAGAAGATACTTTCTTTGCATCTTATTGACTTTGTCTTCAACCTAATAATAAAAAAAAGTAATGTGCATAATTTTTTCAATTTTAACAAACTTATCATTTTGACAATTCTTCAGTAAAATATTTTCTTGTTAAACATGTTAATTTATTTGATTGTTGCTTTATTTTAAACACCCGACTGTGTTTAAACACCCAATTGTGCTTAAACACTTAACTGTGCTTAAACAATATTGATTGGAAAAAAAATTCAGTCATTATAAAAGATTGATGTCAGTAATACATCAAAGATTGATGCGAGTAATACATAAAAGAATGATGTCAGTAATACATAAAAGAGTTTGGTCTGCCTTTGAATAATTTTAAAATTTCTTTTTTTAAGTAATTTTCTTCATATCTTTCTCAAATAATTCTAGTTAGTGTAAAAGTTTAACAATTGTTAAAATTGAAATACAATTAGATTTTATTTTTAGTTGAATTTTTTGTTGGTTAATTTCAACAAAAATTAACTAATTTGCAATTTTTAAGTTTCAATGAAACATCATCATGTTACTAAAATATTGAAACTGTTCTTTTTACAGTTTTTATGAAACTTTATTTCGGTAACAAAAAAAAAAAAAAAATAAAAAAAATATTTACATATAATGGTAAACAAAAAGCAACTGAAAATATAGTTTACCTTTTTTTCGAAAAAAATCTTTCTCTCTAGATATTTTAAATAAATTGATTTCAGACAGATATAAGGATCATTTAAGTTTGATCATTTAAGTTTGAGAAAAATTGACAAATGTTTTTTGATCATAAGGAAAAAAAGTCGAAAGGTGAAATTTAGCTGCATAATGAGTCGTTTTTTCTCTCAATATCTTCACTTCCAAAAAGGCTGCAAGCAACCATTATTAGAGTTGGAAGTTACTGGAAGAGAAAAGATGAAGTTTATAAAGCAAGATAACGATTGACAAACAACTTAAAAGATTGCAAACTATATGAATCAGGAATACAAGATAAAGGAAGCGAATTACTGAGAACTGATGTTTGAGGAAAAAAACTAGACTAATAAGAATTTTTGGAGCACTTAGGAACAGTCACAAATTTAGTAGATGACAAAAGAGATACAATTTCTTTAGAGCAGCGCCCATTATAGTATTTATAGAGAAAAGAAGAGAAGCGACATTACGACAATTTGATGGTGGTTGGAGGTTGGCTGCAAGAGCAGATCTAACTATGTTTACAATGTGTTTTTGCACCTTGTCTAAAAGAGAAAGGACATCATTGGAAGATCCACCCCAGATATGGCAACAGTATTCCATACAAAAACAGATTTGAGATTTATAAAGATAAAGAATAGAATAATGAGTAAGAAAGTGGCAAGAATGATAAAGAGATGCAACCTTAGCAGATGCTAATTTTGCAATGGATTTGATATATGGTTTCCAAGAAAGACTGGAAGAAAGAGTTAGTCTTAGTAGATGACTCATTGAGTATATTACCGTTCATAAATATAAAAAGATCTAGATTATTGTAATAATAATTAGGTGAGATAAACTGTGTTTTATCCAAGTTTACCAGCCACTGAGAGCCTCATGCTGTAGTAATCCCCTCCGAGTAATCAATGAATGTTGAAATCTATCCTTGGAATCATTGTAAGAAGAAAGCTTATGGAGAAGACCAGCATGTCAAACTTTATCAAAAGCTTTAGAAATGTATAGAACATGTTATGCAAGATTGAGTTTTGGTTAATAGAAAACGTTGTCTAGCGCAACGGTATCGCTGCCTTTTTTTATCTTAAAGTCAAGGTTGTAAAGTTTGATTGGCTTATTTTAAATCATGGCTGCAAATATTATTGGTTGATTTTGAAAGTTTTATTTGTACAAATTAAAAAAAAATTGAGGCTTCATATTGTATGGTTAGCATAAAAGGTGATCCAGGATCAAGTCTTTCACTTAAAAAAAATCTGTTTAAATGTTTTTTAACTATTTTTTATTGAAAGTTATTATTATTGTATATACTAATGTATATTGAAAGTTACATTGATTTTTATTATTTACATGCATCGACTGATTTAGGGATGGTCACAGTGAGTGTACATACATCGACTGATTTAGGGATATGCAAAGTGGAGCGCACATACATCTATTATGGGTTTTGTTTTAGACATTCATTCTTTAAATAAAATAAAAAAAATAGTCAACCAATCAGAAATCACTAACGTGCCTTGAAGAAAAAAATTATAGCGACAGTACCTTTGCGCTAGACACAGCGAAATGAAAAAGTGATCTTAATTGACCAGCAACTATGGTAGTATTTGTAGAAAAGAGAAAGAATTATTAAAGAATAAACTAACTAGGCTGAAGCACAAACTTCATAGCTAGAGCAGGTCCAACAATATTTATCTTGCAATTCTGGATCTTGTCTTAAAGAGAAAAAGTCTCATTACAAAGACCAATATGATAACAGGATTCTATACAATCCAAATAAGAGATTTATAAAAGTAGAGAATGGAATCAGGAGTAAAAAACTAATGATCACAACAAAGAGAGGCAACCTTAACAGATGCTTTCTTGACAATGAATATTGTATGGTTCAACTCAAATATAACCCATATATAGAGTTCAATCCCCACCATGTCCCTGGTAGTATTGCACTCAACTCTGTGCAAGGGCCTTGTTTATCAAGGTTCTTGCTTCAGAGTTACAAAATTGATAGAGGGTGGTAACCACAACTTAAGTAGCCTCCTCGACTGTAGTGGCCTTCTCGGCCTTGGGGAGGTTATTAACATAAACAAAAAATATAACCACAAAGTGTCCAAGAACACTGCATTCAAGATTGAAAAATAAAAATAATAAAAACTTAGAAGATTAGTAATTTGAGAATGAACCTTAGTGTAAGCAAAACATGATACTTGGTGTAAGGCATTAGTTTAGTTAAAGTATTGATTTTTTGAAATGATTAAAACAAGTTTGTTTTAAGAGTTTGTAATATAAAAAAAAATGATTGCAAATAGAAAAAATTATGAGGTAAACAAAAAAAAAAAAACAATTTTAGCTTAAACATTGAGTAAAACTTTAATGCCTGTTTTAGTCCAGGAGATTATAAAGGAGGCAAAATTTTTAGCTTTCCAAGGCCCATCATAAAGAAAATGACAAAAAGAATCTCCAGTCATCCTTAAGTAATAGTGAAAGTGTTAAGTAGAGAGAATCTGAAAAAACAATGAAATAAAAGTTTAAAAAAAAATTAGATTATAGCACAATCTGAACCTCCTAATGGGAAACAAGGAGAAACTGATTGCAAGCTAATGAGAATGATTAAGGTAAATGATTAGGGTTATAAGGAAACTATGCACTAACTAAATCTAGAGATAAAAAACAAACCAAAGAATGAAGGAAAGTGAAAAGAATTGTAAGGAAAAGGAGTCACAAAGATATTAAGCTGAGTTAGAGATGGAGAAAAACAGAACCTTTAAGCTAACAGGGTCAGTGACACAAGAGTCAAGCAATTCAGTACTATGAGCATATAAGTCACCAATAATAACAATATTTACATTATCTCACAATAAACAAGTAAGTCTGGTAAATTTCCATGAGGTAAGATTCAATGAATGAAAAATTACTTCAAAGACCACAAATATTTGTAATGATAGAATAAAACAATTTAATGGTAATAATTGCATTTTTTGTTCAACATTTTTAAAACTTTTTAATACAATTGTCTATTTACTCAACCATAGATATTGTATAAAACTCCAAGCAATAAGCATTTAATTTCCCCATTTTTATTCAGCCTCATTTTAGCTATTAACTCAAAGTTGAAAAAGACCTACATATATGGGTTCAACAATGCACAAAAAAAGTAACAATAGAAACACCTTTCATGTGCAACTTGACACTGGCAATACTCTGATACTTTTCAGCTATTTATACAATCACCCTCTCTAATAGCTATCACAAAGTTCAAAAAACCTTACTGCCAGTCAGCCTTAGAACCATTAACTGAGTTTAAGGTTTCAAGACCAAAAAGAAGAAGCTGCATTATAAAAGAGACTCAAGAAAAATCCATGAAATGAGTCAAGAAGACCCAGCGTTTGTTATTTCAAGCAGGAAACAGCATAGAACAAGTTTACATCTATGCCAACTTATTAGATGAAAAAGGGGTAAAGACTGAAGGCATTATGAACTTTACTTAATATATGCCAGCCTTTGCTTAAAAATGAGATTCAAGGCAACAAGACATTAAAGTAGGTTGTGATGGGTTACATTATACTATTAGCAGGGTGATCTATTAAATACTAAATTTATTTGATAAAAATAAAACAACTTAAAGTATTTGATTTTAAAATGTAAACCTCTTTTCCAAGTCTCTGTTGAAGCATTATAACAGCATATTCTTTCTTTAATAATTCTAATGCAAGCATTAGTCTTTTTGGAATATCACATTCTTCTAAGACTTCTTGTAATTGAGAAGGTTCAGCACTAGTTAAAGCTGCACCTGAAAATTTAAGTAAAAACAGTGTTAACCAAATAATCACATTGAAAACATATGTATGCATGTATGTATGTATGTAAGCATGTATGTATGTATTTATGTATGTATGTATGTATGTATGTATGTATGTATGTATGTATGTATGTATGTATGTATGTATGTATGTATGTATGTATGTATGTATGTATGTATGTATGTATGTATGTATGTATGTATGTGTCTATATAATATATATATATATATATATATATATATATATATATATATATATATATATATATATATATATATATATATATATATATATATATATATATATATATATATATATATATATATATATATATATATATAGAAATCAGCTTGTAGCTTGTCTATGGTTTCTAAACTGACAAAATTAAGGTTAGATTATAATAAAACACATTAATTTTATTGAAGAAACTAATTAAATTTAAAGTTTTTTTAAAAAACCATAAAAACACAAATTTAGACTTGTTTTTATTTTTACTTTTTTTACTGTAAAAGATCTATGAAGTGTTGCTACATCGACTATCTTATAGCCTGCTGCTACAAGGAAGTGCCGCTACATCGACTGAGGGTTTGGTTAGGGCAAGGAAGTCTATCAAATAATATACAAAACTTTTTTAAAATATTTTCCAGTCTTTAAAACATTTTTTTAAAAAAAAACAACCTAAAACTGACCTGACAATGGTAAAATTAAAAACGACCAACCAAAAGTGTGTATATATATATATATATATATATATATATATATATAAATATATATATATATATATATATATATATATATATATATATATATATATATATATATATATATATATATATATATATATATATATATATACATGGTGGCCACAAAATTTTAAAAGTTAAATTCCAGGACATTTGCAGGACATTCCAGGACATTTTGTTGCGTTTTCCAGGACATTTTATATCTTATTAAATGAATATTATCAATTATCTTTAGGTTATATTTTTTTCATATTGATTGAATTATAAAATAGAATATTATATTATTATGACTCTCTTATTTAAAATTAAATTTAAAACATTTATATAAAAAAAATTTATATTAAAAAAATTTTCGCATAAAAAATTTAATATTACTTCAATATTATTAGTAATTTTTTAACTTGACTCAAAAAAAAAAAAAAAAATCCAGGATATTTCAGGACATTTTTGAAAAAAATGTTATTTTCCAGGACATTTCAGGACATTCCAGGACACTTGCAAAAATCCAGGACATTCCAGGACATCCCAGGACTGTGGCCACCATGTGTGTATATATATATATATATATATATATATATATATATATATATATATATATATATATATATATTATATAGACACATACATACATAAATATATATGTATATTTGTATATTGTGTAAAAATAAATAAATAAACCAAACATTACAATACAATATCAAAAAAAGTAAACACACATAAAAGATATTTATGCATTTTTTATATTTATTGTGAATAATCCGAAAGAATTTTGCAATCATGAAATATCTTAAATAGTTGTGTTCATTAACTTTTACATTTTATTTGTATATTTAACTTACAAAACAACTAAATACTCATAATCATAATAACAAAACTTTTTAGCGATGTCATTTACTAACATTTCCTTTGTCAAACTAAAATTGAAGGTGGTAAAAAAATTTAACAATTAATTTATAGCACTAAAAGTTTAAAAAGAAAAAAACAGAAAAAATATATTAAAAATTTATACTTTTTATTATATATACTATATATATATATATTTTTTATTAACACATTTCATGCGGGACACATACATTTTCTGACAATTGATAGTTGAGTGCAGGATACTTGAGCCCTGTATTAGTATAAGTTAGTATAACAACTTATTTTTTCTGAATTTCTGTAATTCATCAGTGTTTTAGTGTTTAAAAAAAATGAATTTAAATTCAAAATTAACCTTTTATTTATACTTGCGAAGCCTCTGCAGAATGTACCCACAAGCAATGTTTTAATTGAATAGTTGACAAAATTTAAAGTTGTAAAGTTGAAGTTTCCTGCTTATAAAAAAAATTAGCTGTATTTTTATTAGTTGATTTTAAAATTAACACATGTATTTCTGCTTAAGAAATAATCGTTTTTAAAAGTAAGTGTTCCTAATGTTTTTAATATTATTTATATATCTATTGTATTTTTTTCTCAATGCATTTTTATTTCAAATTAATTGGATATATAGTTATTTTAATCATTTTTTTTTTTACTTATAATAAATTAGCTGTTGTTTAAACAAACAAAAAATTGTGAAGTTATGATTAAGCTAGAGTAATTTTTTTAGTTGTAAACTTATGATGTTTGTTTTTGGTAAATAAGCTCATGTTAATTCATAACCACAGTGTTTACAGTTTTCCATAAACTGAAACTTTGAGGAGCAGATATTTTTCCAGATATCGCAATTCGCAATTATTTAATTCAATCTTTGTACCAATACAACTTGCTTTTTTTTTTAATTTTTTAAAAACCTATAGACCCTTGACAGCTTGTTGGGTCCTATATATAAATAAAACGAATAAAACCAAATTTATTTATTGAATCATAGCTATTGTACATACCAATTACTTCTAGTTAAGTTAGGGGAGAGAAGGAGAGCGCGGCACTACACTAATTAAAATTAAAATTTTCACTTTGTTCTCTTATGGTAAAAAGAGGAGAACCCTAATATAAGTATGCTTCATTAATTTATCATTTAACATATCAATATATAAATTTAATTAACAAACTTTACACTAAAAAAGTAAAAAAATCAATCAAATTACCAAAATCAGCAAGATGAACAGGATTATCTACAACCCTTTTTCCTGCTTCGATAAGTTGAACAAGTGACTCCTTATATAAAGGATTCATTGCAATAATATCACGAATAGTTTTTATAACTTCTGCTGATGTTGCCTAAATAATAAAAATTAAAACTTTTTTTAAAAACCTTTAAAAAAATATCAAACTAAAAACAGACATGTAATTCATTATATAAGATATTTGCTATTGTCAAAGAAGGCAATTATTGGACTAATGGCACAATATATAAATATTATTAAAAACTAATAACTTTAAAATGAGTCTTTGACAATTTGTGAATTGTGAAATATATTTTAATTTATATTCCTTCGCTTTGGTTTTAAAGCAAGCTTCACTCTACTTATGTTTTTTTCTCCTATATGTGCAACTTTCTGATTTTAATAAACTTTTTTGATTTTTTTCAGCTCTTAAGAATATCTTTTAGGCATTGAAAAAAATAGATGCAAAAAACTATTGTCTAACACTGAGCTTGAATGTTTTCAGATTACTAAATCTTGTATCTCCGAAGTTTGGTGAGTTCTTAACACATTTGAAAAATCTTTAGTAAATCATTAACAAGTCTGAAAATTAATCTAAAATATAAATCTATGTCATTAAAACTGGATCAAATAGTCTGAAAACCAAATAGTGTCATTAAAAACAGGAGATTAGATGAGAGGCTCTGTCCTTGGCCCCTCGTTCAAAGCCATTAAAGATAGTGAAAAATTTTCTATTATCTCATGAATTAGGCAACAGTGGGCTATTACTCTTGACATATCAAAAGTGTTTGATGAGGTCTAGCATACTTTTGCATAAAAATTTCTTTTTTTTTTTAAAAAAAGTCCAAAAATAAAGTGAAAATGCAGTTAGACCTGCACTAGTTTTCAAGTTTGAGTCTCCTTTTCATTATTGTAAATTTGCATTTTCTTCTCTTTTCTATATTACCGTGGTTGCAGTTCAAACCAATATAACAATCTTCTATGACTCATCATTAACCAATATAACTATCTTCTGTGACTTCATTCACTTAAGTGGCATCATTATACTATAACTGCTTATTCATAGTTAAAAAACTTTTATTTATCTTGTTTTATCCTCAATAGACCATCCAGGTCATATTTTAATAATCCAGAAAATTGTATGCGTAAAACATCCATAAAAAATCTGGAAAATGTTTTCCTCTTAAATTTGCTTTTAGCTGAATTGTTTTAAATTTTTTTTCAAAATTTTTTATAATTTTTGTATGAGAGATGAGCGAAAAAGCTTAAAAAACAAATATATTATGTATGAAAACGTTTTGAATATCTGGAAAAACTAAAAGTTAAGAAAAATATTCTGAATTCTGGAAATATCCGGAAAAAGATAATCCCTGATCCTTACCAAATATATTAAATTAATTTAAATGAAAAAATACAACTTTATAATGGAACTTAAAGATTCATGCCATTCGGCAATCATCAGCCATATTCAAATATAAAGTAAAAACCTTTTTAAAAAATACAAGTTTAGCATTGCAACAACATCTGACGTCAATTATACGTGATCCGAATACTGCTAATCGATTTGTAATCTGGGAACTTTTATATTATTTATTATAGCCATATCAAAAGCATATCTTTTGAATGACAAAAAGTAGAAGTTATTTGTTATGCTTTTTCAAACCACAAGTTTGCAAAAAAAATTTATTAATATGTTACTATTTGGAATTTTAATTATTGCAACACTACAATTCTCCTTGAACAATTTGTATAAATATTTTTGGAAAAGTATTAATGATTGCAACTTTACAATTCCTTCTGACATTATTTCACGAGAAGAAGTTCATGAATAAAGGTGTATAATAACTGTAGCGTTAACTTAAAGTTTTTAAGAAAAAAATCCTTTTGAAAAGAGTATACTTTTCTTAAAGCTTTGAAACATTGAGAATGAACCAAATGTACGTTTCAGCACATTCCTCTGCCCTTTAGGAAAAGGTTTGCCCCATCAATGCCCCCTCAAATAAAATTCAGGGAAAACTTTCAATCTTTAGTAGCAAAAGATGCTAGAACAGCCAAACAAATTGCATCTCAAGTTATTTCCAATAAAAAATTATCCACTAAATGAACTATTCAATTTGCTAAAGCATCTGGTGGGTCTCCACTTACATTTACCCCAGGTAAATATTTATACTTGAAAGTTTTAAACAAACTTTATAACCAAAGTTTAATACAAAGATAAAATATGTATGTTTTGGTTTCAGCTCAAAGTACCCAGCCAATAGTGCCCAGCCACTATAAACACTCTAGTACTTATAAATGTACAATTAAATACGAGACTATTAATTAATATTATTAGTCAAGGTATAAGCAAAACAATAATCATCTAGACTACAAAGAAAGATTCTTATGCTGCATAGTTGATCTAAATAGTAAGAATTTTTAAAGAAGTGCTACCACAGTTTTGATTCATTAGATTAGGCTGCAGAAAATCACAACTTACGGTTTATAATGAACATATTTGACTATTTTAATCCTTAACAACAGTTAGTAATTATGAATTTTAATATTGTATGTAAATTATTGATTACATTGCATGTAAAAATATTGAAGAGTATTTGATTAAAAGAGTATATTAAGCTATTTTGAATAAATTTCTAGTGGAATAAATCAAAGACCATGTCTTACAATTTAATCATATGCAATTTGATGGTAATATAATGTAAAAAATAGAGTTTAGTTATTTTTTTTTTTACTTCATTTTGAAAGTCAATGTATTTAAGACGGTTTCAAGGAGCAATAAAAATTTGTTTTTACAGAAACATTTTGTTTTTGTTTTACTAACTAATAGCCCATTTGCCAGGTTTTGCACTATTTTTAGCAATTTGTTTTGCATTTTAATAGTAGTTTATACTTTAGGAAATGTTAAGACATTTACGCTATGCGTAAGGCAATTCAAACCAAAAACTATAACTGTCATAAATCCTTAACCAGTAAACCAATCTGGCGGAAACTTTATCTAGAGTTTTATAAGAGCTACATTTTTATCAAATTATATGTAGTGGTTCTCATTCTAAAGGTTTTTTATTGTCACACTATAAAGTTAAAACTTCACCTAATTTGAACTTTTAAATTAAAATTATGTCAAGCCTTTTAAGGATACATGATCAGTCGTATGCCTTACTTAGTTAGCGCATTTTAATATACACACACACACACACACACATATATATATATATATATATATATATATATATATATATATATATATATATATATATATATATATATATATATATATATATATATATATATATATATATATATATATATATATATATATATATATATATATATATATATATAGACACACACACACATATAACAATATTCTTGTCATATTTAATAATAACATTTATTAAACCTTACAAAAAACTGTAACAAAGTAATTAAGATTAAATATTTTTAGACTCTTAACTTGAAAAGAAGAAAAGAAAAATCTAACCTTTAATTCTTGTGTCTGCTTAAATGTTTTATTGTGGACATTTTCTATATCTACTAAAAGCGGTGGAGACTGCAAAATATTATCTTTTAAGCGAATGATTTCATCCTCAGCTTCTTTCTCTACTTGAGAAACTATTTCTTCCTTTTCATCATGCACAAATTCTTCTTTTTTATATTTATCATTTTCATCTATTACGGCTTCATTTTCTTTATTTAAACCAGTTATTCGAATCCTAAGAGAATTTATTTGAAATTTGCATTTAAAAAAGTCAAGTCAAGTTTTTAAACACATCTAAGCATAATTTATCACTTAATTTTAAGTAAATAATGCACAAAATTTTTTTTTTACCATTTTATGTGCATGACACGTTTTACATGTGTAGTGCACATTTTACATGTGTATTGCACATTTTACATGTGCATTGCACATTTTACATGTTTTTGTAAAAATATCTTCACTTTCAACAAAGCTGCAAAATCCAATATTAGATTTGGAAGTTACTGGAAGAGAAAAGGTAAAGTTTATAAATGCAAGATAACGATTAAAAGACAGCTTAAAAGATTGCAAACTATATGATTCAGGAAAACAAGACAAAGGAAGCAAATTAAAAAAAATGAATTGGAAAAAACTAGACAAAAAATAATTTTTGAAAGTGGCAATGATATATCAAATATATTATTCTTAATAATAATTAGTTAATACACACTGATTATTTTATAATATAAAAGTATATAATTCTTAATATATCTTTGGAAATCGGAGCTTAATTTACCGTGACGTTGTGAAACTATGTTTAATTTTGTGTTGATACAGACGGTATTTTATTTTTGGCACTGTCCAATCAATGTATGCAGCTCTGTAGTGGTGTAGAAGAAAAAATAATATAAGAAAAGAATCCCACGCATTTTTGAAACACATTTTAATATCAGGGCAAGGGGGTAAGATTGGGAATATTAAAAATAAAACTAATTAGCTAATATAGCTAATTATAAAGCTTGTATATTTGATTATTTTTATGGATTTTTTCTAAAAACCAGCAACAAAAACATACAAACCAACCACTAGCCTTTTCAGACCATATTGTAAATAGTATTATCGATCATATCAAGTCTTTTAAAGGAAAAAAGTCATTATGCATTACATGACACTTAAAAGCTATATTTTCAAGAGGATCTTAATATATCAAAAATATACAATATGTACAAGGACTATTTCACACAAAATAAAGTTTGTCAAGAATTTAAAAATGTTATTGGATATTATTTAATTTTCTACTTTCTTTTATTTTACCAGGAAAAAATTTGTAACAAAATTTAACTTTACCTTTGGTTATCCTCATAAAGATACATGCTGAACATGTGACAAGCTCAATATTATACTTAAAAACCAAAGCACCTCTTTAAAAAACTCATCAAGAGTCTTTAAAAAAAAGAGCTTGCAGAAAGCAGAGTTGTTTTAGCCAGAAAAAAAAAAATACATTGCAATGCAAAAACTAGCCATGCAGCTCTTGCATTTAACTTTGCTAAAAATATGAACTTTCCTAATGTTTCTAGAAACTGCATTTATTATCATTGACAGCTTTTTATGTACACGTTTAATATACACTGGTTAGGATTAAATAGTGCTCACTTATTTTGATAGGATAAAACTTACATAAAAAGGGAGCAGACGATGTAGCAAGCATACTGGAGCACTATTTTGACTAGATTTTACCGAAAGATGTATCACATTTGCAGATTTTTTGAGATTTATGTGCTGGGCAAAATAAGAATTGGACAATTATTCGTTTTTTACACTTTAATGTGTAAAAAACGAATAATAATTTTAAGTAGTGAATAAGAAACGATTTCAATAAATCATACTATCGTTCCGGATAATGGGCTACAGCTATATGGAATGTAACCATGATATGGTATTAGTTAACCAAAAGGTTTCAACAGAGCTAACAATAAATTGGATGAAAGAATTTTGTACATGCTGTAAAAAACTTTCACCATTTAAAGTTATCCCTATTTTTAAAAATTCTGAGATATACAAACCTAAGATATACATATGGAACTGGAAATGACATAGTAAATGTCTTATATAAGTCTCATTAGTATATGAGTCTTCAAAATTCATTTTTTTGTTTTCTCAAAATGAAAAAAAACGTGACACTACTTGTTTTCACTTTGTATATATATATATATATATACATACATATATATATATATATAAATATATATATATATATATATATACATATATATATATATATATATATATATATATATATATATATATATATATATATATATATATATACATATGTATGTATGTATGTATGTATGTATGTATGTATGTATGTATGTATGTATGTATGTATGTATGTACATACATACATATATATATATATATATATATATATATATATATATATATATATATATATATATATATATATGTATGTATATATATATATATATGTATGTATAAAATAAAAATAAGGACCACAATGCAATTTCAAAACAGTTGATCTGATAAAAAAAAATAGCACCTGTTATCAAGAATAAAAGCTACTATTAGTTATTGCTAGTAGCCTTATAAATGTGCCTAAAATGCTTCAGTATATGATATAAATCTTATTCTATACTTAAACTATATGTAAACCATATATTTATTCTATATGTAAACATTATATACCTTCTATGTCCAGTAATAATGAGACGCAACTTGTCGCCAGAATCATGCATTTCTGTAATTTGAACAAATGTTCCAATATTATATATTTCATCAAGACTTTGGATAGTTTCTTTGTCACTAAAAATAAAATACCTTTTTATAAAAAAATGAAAGCTTATCATTGAAAATAATTAAAAAATAATTATAAATATGTTAAATATATATATATATATATATATATATATATATATATATATATATATATATATATATATATATATATATATATATATATATATATATATATATATATATATATATATATTAGACTGTTTTTGACAGCGTCAACCGTATTTGTAAAATTATAAAGAAAAACCGTATTTCAAAAATTATAAAGAGCCACAACAAAAAAATAAATTTAATTAACACCACTGAAAATCTCCCTTGCAACCTTTACTGTATAGGTTTTTTCTGTATAGTTTCAATTGTATATAATTTTTTAAACAAACAAACTATATTTGTATTTCATCTGGTGATTGCAACAGCATGAAACTTAAAGTTGTGAAAATCACGTCGTTTTTAATTTCTACTTTATATATATGAATATATATATATATATATATATATATATATATATATATATATATATATATATATATATATATATATATATATACATAGAGAGAGAGAGAGAGAGAGTTTGTAACTATAGAGTTGAACTTATTACTCTTGTACAACACTATTCTAATAAATTTTATTCTATTCTAAACATAATATATATATGAATATATATGAAAATAATAAATACAAATTAAATGAATTATATTAAAATTAACAAGTTTAATCTAAAAAATTAAAAACATAATAACCTGTCATCTTTACGAAGAAATGCGCCAGCATAAGGCTGGGCAAGTTTCACTTTTTTTCGTATCAAGTCAACAAGCCATTTATCTGTGACCTATATATAAAAATAATTTCTTTTATTGAGCAGAACCATATTTTTATTTCAATAACAATAATCTACATAAATACAAAAAAAATACAACAAAAAAATTAAAAAGTTTAACATACTGCACACCTCAACTAGTTTGACAAACTTTGGAAAAACTGGATTTCGATAGAGTGGAAGAATAGGTACTGTTGGGTAGTTCTCTGGAACAGCAATTTGTGCAAGTGCACCAAAAGGAGGAACGTCATTTGGATCATTTAATACTGCATGTCGTATGGTTCCTTTTTTTTCATCTTCTCCATCATCTCCATTATTTGGATTGTCATTACTTTGTTCTCCATTCGAATTGCTTGATGAACTGAAACAAATTTTACAATGGTATCAAGTCAAACTTGAGCGATATCAAGTCTAATTAAATTCAAAAAGGGTATAATAAACAACACTCTCTAAACTAATAAAAGAAGTAAGTAAAATGGCGTTCGTCTTTAGAATTTCAGAGAGAGAAAATATTATTTACTTGTATTTACATAAAATATTTTAGATAAAATGTTTTTGTTGAAGACAAAACTTGTTTAATTAAACAATAAAGTTCACATTTTATTAAAAGTATTTACATAACTTTATTTATATTATATTAATTTACATAAAAGCTATTTTTTTTTTATAACTTAGGTCATTTTGTTCAAACTAGAATCTGGCTATTGTACAAATAATTAATGTTTAACTTTTTAGTGAAAGATTAATGTTTTAACTACACCAACAAAATCAAATCAAAAATGCTAACACCTTAAATTATTCTTAAAGTTAATAGTGTAATGTTCAAAACATTATAATAAAACTTTATTGTATTTTAAAAATTATTTAAACAAAACCCAGCAAATAATTTAAATCAAACTTTCGTATTAAATAGCTTAGTATAAAAACCAATTGTTTAACAAGAAAACATAAAATATGAACTTATCTACAAGTTCATAAATACTAAAAAAAAAAACAGTTTATAGATCAAAACAGTATATTATATAAACAACTATAATCAAGTTGATAGATCAAAACAGTAATAAAGAAAAGAAATTAAGAAAAAGAAAAGAAATAAAGGAGAAATAAAAAATAAATTAAAAAAAACAAAAACACAATCAGGCACAACAAATAAATACAAAGTTAGGAAATTTAAAGAACTTCAAACATTTTGTCTAGCAGATATCAGTTTCAAAATATTTTCAACAAAAAAATGCTGAGTAGCAAATTAAAAATGTTTTAAAACTGTGGACAACATCAATATGCTATATATTTGATGAAATATGAGCGCATAATCACATTTATTGACAACATATTTTTTTTTTAAGGGTGCAAAAAACCATACTGGGTGATTTACCTAATAAGAGCTGTTATATTTTACATGTAACATTTTTTCATTTGAATTAAAAAAATAAACATAGGAAACGCAATTTTGTTATTGTTGTTATGTTTTTTTTGTTATTCACCTCCTCAAGTCCGAAAAGACCACCATAGATAAAGAGGCTACTTAATAGTGGTTATTGCCCTCTCCTAACTCTTTAACTCCAAAACACTAACCTTGATAAACAAGGTCGCTGTGTGGAGAAACAAGTTGAGCATGGTACTACCAGGGACGTGGTGTGGATAGCACTTGGAACCTCTCGCTTGTGAGGCGAGCACATTAACACTACACCACTACTAATTAATTCATACAACATATAAAAAGTTAGCTACTTTGATGTCCCCAATGACTTTCCTGACAAACTATGTTTTATTACTGATTGTTAAAATTGATTGTTAGGTGTAAAATCAAAATAGTTGGAATTCCAGACTTTTAATTCTAAATACTACTTTATACTTTAATTCCACTTTAAGGAACTTTTAAGTCTAAATTCTATATATCATACTACTTAACCAGTTCACTTATGACTTTCTGTCAACAAGCGAGCAAAAAAAAAAATTATATATATATATTTTTTGCCCAATTGTTAATAAAACAGCAGGTAGCAAGTGCTGTGACAATAAAACCACATGTTGTGAAACTATACCAAGGTTATGCAAAGAATTGAACCAAGTCAATAAGAAAATATATTTGGAGATATATATGAAAGCCGAAAAACAAAAAAACAGAAAAATAAAGAATTAAAAATTCTTTTTTTTTTTAATGTATTTTTGTGCTTAATGTTAACAACTAATATTAACAATTAAAAATGTGTTGATATATGTTAATCAAAAATATGTTGAAGTTGTTAGCATTAACTATAAGCCAAAAGCATTAATTATCACTATTTAGTCTTTGTTACATTTAAAAAACAAAGTTTCAAGCAACGAATCAGACGAGTTCTATGAGAGCACATTATTAATCCACTCTGACAAAAAGATATGCTAGACAGGAGCTGGCATTGCAGGGAAACATTTTTTAAATAATTTTTAAATATGATTTCATTGTGTACAGTCTTTTTTAATGAAATTTTTTTTTAAATTATAGTGATTTATTTGTTTAAGATTTGTCAAAACTCAAGATAGTCAAAACTTTTTTGTTTGTAAAACATGATTCATTCTATAATCAGCAAAAAGGCATTTATTTTTTTTTTTGAACGAGTAAAAACAGATAAAGTGTTACTATCATTAGATATATATTTGCTTATTGGTTCAAAGTTGGATTTTATAATTAAAATTATAAAAGAAAGCTCTATTATGAATACATTAATAACAACTTTTATAAACAGATTTAAATAAGTTGAATAAAAATAGTATATATAAATACTTTATAAATTATAATATAAATATAATAAAAACATTTTGATTCAAAAAACCTTTAAAATCCTGTTTTTAGTTTCAATAAAAACATGTTTAAATCTGTTTTAAATTTTGAAATGTCTTAACAAATAAAAAATGTTAAAAAAATCATGTGACTTAATATAGATGTATTGAATTCCTATTAACCAATCATAGGATTGATTTTTGTTTAAAAATGGCAAGTGAAAAATGGCAATTTAACATGTGACATAAAAAACAAAATTAAGTTCTAAACTCTTGCAAACAAAATCAACAAAATTCAAATGCAAATAAGAAAGAAAGTTCTAAATTTAATAAGAAAAGGTGAAAAGCCAAGGCAAAAACATTCAAGGTCAAGGCCAAAATATTCAAGGCCAAAATGTGAAATGGTCAAGGTCAACAGTTTTAAGACCAAGGCCGAAGCCTTAAGTTTTAACCTTAAGGCAAGACCAAGGATTAAGAACTCTGATGAAAATCTTTCCCTCTCCATCAGTTTCAGACTCTAGAAGGATAGAGATTTTTGTAAAGTCTATTAAAGTGTCATTAGCTAAGCCAAATATTCTATCCTTCATATCTGATCTTATTACATTATCCAGAGAAAAATAATAACAAAAAGATATTATTGCCCATTAGAGAGTAGGAGTGTTCGATTTTGGCTTTCCTTCCAAGAAAGCTGAAATTTTTTTTTAAACAATCCATGTTTTTATAATGAAAAATAAATGGTTTCAATTATACAATTTATGTGACATAAAAAAAGTTAAGTTTTAATAAGTTTACAACTTTCAGAGAAGTGGAAATAGATTGAATTTCTGATTTCCGGAAAGTGGTAAGTATTTAAAAACTAATCAGTTTCTTTAAGTTTTAACACGGTAATAAAATTATATTACTATTAATTAAATTCGACCTTACTTTCCTACACTTTCCAATCACTTTAAAAAAATTTATTTAATTCTATTTTATCAATTTCATACCACCCGGAGCTTAGTAAGACCTGTCCCAGTTTATAAATTTCAAAGCAAAAAAAAGTTTCAATGTAAAATTAAGAACTACTGTTTGTTAAATGATTACACAAAGACATTATGCAAAGATAAGTATCTATTTTACTTATAATGGAACCATTTGCTAAAAACTGGTTTATTGTTAATTTAAAAATGTAAATTTATTTATTACTGTTGATAAATTAAAAAAAAAAAATTTAATTATATAATTAAATAGAATTTAATTATTTATTTAATTTCAAAGAGTTCTTATTTTAACACCAAAAATTAAAAATAAACAAATGCTGGTATTTTAAAAATAGAATCATTTTTTTTTTTTTTTTTTAACATTTCAAATTTTTACCTTTTTAAATCGAATTCAAAATAAATCTACTTCAGACACCAAATAAACTGCAATTTCACTTTCTATAATTTATTAGAGTTATAGAATAAAATAGTAAAACTTTAGTTAAACTATAGTCAATAGAAGTTATCCAGGGTTAAACTTCTTAGAGATAACTTCTAAGAAGTTATCCAGGGATAACTTCTTAGAGATAACTTCTCAGGAATAACTTCTATTAACTTCTTTGGAAAAAAATTGAAAAACTTTTTTATGTACTTATTTTTACTTTTTGTACACATGATTACACATGATATTTAAACAATAAGACCATTTTGTCAAAATATTTCATTTCCAACCAGGGAAACATAACCATGTTACCCTGGGAACCAGGGAAACATAATAACTTCTATTGACTATGATATTAATTATTTGTAAAAAAAAAAAAAAATTAAGTAAAGAAAATTAAAAAAAAAAGATTGTTTAAATTTTTTTTTGACTTTCTAATGGTTTCCAATGGTGATTGGAAAATGTAGGGGAAGTAAGGTCAAATTTAGTTATTAGCAATACTATAAATTTAATGTCATGTAAAAATTTAAAGAAAGTGATTAGTTTTTAAATACTTTCTACTTTTCAGGAATTGAAAACAGAATGAATTCAATCCATTTCCACTTTCCAGAAATTATCATTTTTTTTGCCTTCAAACAATAAAGTATAGTTAAATAAACATTTTTCAATATAAATACATTTAATTTATGAACACTTTCCACATCAGAGTAAACTATTTTTTGAAACTGGCTATAAAAAGCAATCGAACACCCCTATTAGATAGATGCAGCAAAAGAAGAGCCATTGCTCATGATATATCAAGCCCATTAGATAAAACCTGGCATGCAGGTCTTCTCAATAAGGTCTCCATAAAATGTATCTGTAAATGTATGTAAACCACTAAGTTCTTTACTTGCTCCCATAGTTTCTTATCTTCATAAAAAATCTTTCTGATATTTTTGCTTCAAAAGTAACAAAAGTATTTGCTTATGATATAACCATATGTACAACATAATGTCCATTCTGAATTTTTTTTGATTCATTTTTATTTTTATTGATTCTATCTTTTTCAACTTTTATATATATAATTTTGATAAATAGATTACAGATACACCTTTTGATAGATAGATTACAGATACACATACAGATTACAGATAGATAGATACACCCCCAATAGAAGATTTTATCTTCTATTGGGGGTGTCTTCTAGTTAACATTTTTTCTTCTAATTCTTCTAGTTAACATTTTTTCTGATTATCTTGCATTATTAATCACACCTAAAAAACATATATCCAGTCTTTTGCAAAATTCACATTCGTTCATTCACATTGTTCATTCTTCTGTTAAGAGGAAATCTAGTGATCTTAATAATTATCTTTAGTTATGTTCTATTCAATGTCAGGCTTTTTTTTTAATAACAAGTTTCTTACCTCCATTTCCTTGCTTAGCTTTATGAATGACAATGATCTAAAAATCTATTTAGTGATGACAATTCCTGCTGGCTGATAAGGATAATCTATGCTGGTTGAAAATGATGAGACATTCGCCCCTCTCTCTCTTTATACATTGAGACATAACAATGCCCCACTTTCTCTTTTTATATATTAAGATGTGATAGTGCCCCCTTCTTTATGTATAAAAAATTTATATTTCTGGAACAACAAAACTTTATAAAATTTAAAAAACTACTCTCCGCTTTTTTGTAAATATTTACAAGGTAATAACCCTGAAATTTATTTGAAATTACTAAAGGTAGAGTTCAAAACATAAAAATATTAAAGTTTTTTAAACATCTAAATTGACTGAATAAAAATGCAAAAAGTAATATTCTTAAAATAAAAATACCTTCCAGTTTTTTTTCGTAAACCTCTTGGAACTGCTAGGACAGATCTAAGAGAGATATAATATATATTACATTAGACACTTACCCACACAAACCAATATGCAAAAATAAATTTTGATTGCTGCTTTTTTTTAACTTTTGTGTACCTGTTTTTATGAAGAACATTTAAACTCAACAAACGAGATCTGCAAATATGATGAACAGAGTTTTTGCTAACAATAACAGGTGTTCTGCAGCTATGCAATGTATACTGGAAAAATTGTCTAGTTATCACTCTGAACATTTTTATTCATACTATAAATATCAAAAAAGATTTTTGGATTTAAAATAAGAAAACTATAAACATTTAACAAAAATATATCTGTCATGATAGATTCATTAGCTTAAAAAGTTTAGAAAAAACATTTAAAGAAAAAAAACTTAGGTTATACACAAAACAAAAAACAACTGAAGTTAAGTACAAAACAAAAAAGCACTTGTAGACACTTCATACTTACAAAATAAAAAAACGATTAAGAATTTGAGCAAAACAAAAAATTAGGACATCTACAGGATGAAAAAACAACTGAGGATATGTATTAAAAAAACAACTAAAATGGTTTTAAAATTATATTTTGATGACATGAAAATGTACAAATTGAATTTTAAATATCTTTTAAAAAAAAAAAAACTCTTTTAAATTATTTTTTAAAATATACTCTCAAAATATGTTTGAGTATTTACAATTATAAATAAAGATCAGAAAAAAATATATAACTTGTAAAAAAAATATAAGTTATAAAACTCTTTGCTAGCCCAATTAGGATTTAGAGGCTCTAAAAGTTTCTTGAAGAAATGAAAGTTTTTAAAGAATCTAGTAGAAAAGTATTTAGTAACGATGCAAGTTTTGTGCAGATGATACCGTGTAATGCATAGTAGCAGAAGGATTTGATGTAAAAATGATTTGTTGCTGTGGTTGAGAAGATTGTTGTTGTACTGAAGCTTGCTGCTGTGAGGAAGGCTGGTGATGAGTAAACCACTGCTATTTAAAAAAAGTAAATACAAACAAAATTAAAAACTTCTAAAATATATATTATTTTATAAGTGATGAAAATATTTATTATAAGTAGTATAATTAATCATTTCTAATAATAATCTCCTTTCAAATCTATACTTTTTAACACTTTCTCTTTAACACTCTTCACTAGTTACATTTTATTACATATGATTTTCCATTACATATCCTAAAATTTGATCCTTTTAAAAAAAATTTTCCATGTGTATAATACTCTTTTTTAACTGCTTAATATTCTTTCCATGTTTAAAACATTGTTTACTTAGATCAACATTGATGCAGTGGTAGTTTTAATTTTTAGAGCAGTTGTTTGAATTTTTCTTTTTAAGCACTTCATTCAGCATTGAATGTGCGAGCTATATACACTGCAATGCATTTTATGCTACATTTTAAAAAGCATTAAAATTATAAATAATCATTTGTATTTCTTTTTTTTTATTTTGAATGTTAAAATGAATATTAATCAAAAAAAAAAACAATTTTTTTGCTTTTAATACAAAAATAGTTAGAACCCTGATAGGACACTGTCACTTATCAAAAACAAAAAAAAAAATCATTTTTAATTGTTTGTGACACGAAGTCACAAACAATTAAAAATGATTTTTTATTTTTTCATCCAGTTACGTAGACCTAGGAGATGTGATTGTATATAATGTCATTATGCTAATAAATGTGGTAATATTTATGAATCAGATTGAATATAATGTCATTATGCTAATAAATGTGAATCAGATTGTATATAATGTCATTATGCTAATAAATGTGGTAATATTTATGAATCAGATTGAATATAATGTCATTATGCTAATAAATGTGAATCAGATTGTATATAATGTCATTATGCTAATAAATGTGGTAATATTTATGGTCTAAACTCTAGATAATAAAATAAAAACTGGTAATCCTTTGTGTAACATAAAAATATATAAATGTCATTAATGTAGCAAATTCATAATATAAAGTACACAAAGCACTCAAATTCATGGTTGTAAGAGGTAAAAAAATGTTGGTGTCATAATAACCAATTAGAATTAAGTAGTGGATGAATGGTGATCCCCCTCCTCAGGAATGCACTGTGATCATCAATGATCGCAATGAGTCTGAGACCTGCACTAATGCCACTCATCAGGGGCGAGCCTTTGCAAAAGATCCTGCACTTTACATCATGCTAGTCAATATTAAAATATAATAGGACTACACTACAAATGCAAAAAGTTCCAATCCCTATCCCAGTTTTAAATACAGCTCCAACATTCTTAAAGATCTTGTTAGGGTGGTGAGGGATGGGCATGGTGTGGCCATAAATATGTAAATACCTAGACATATAAATATCATTTATAAATTTTGTTCTAATCATATGCCAGTGAGTTCACTAAATCATATTTTATTTTTGTTATAATATTATATAAGCCATTTCAGATATCTAAATCTTATGAGTAATTCACTAAATCATGTGTCAGTGAGGCCATGCTCCAATTTGTTTGTGATCGTTTGATTATATTCTTTACTAAGAGGCATTATTTAGGCATTATATATGAATAATGTTGATCATTCAAAAATTTGTGTTAACCAGTAGATTATCTGATGTGCACATATGCACACATCAGATAACCTACTGGTATTTTAACACTAAAAACAATTAATAAATTTTGTTGTTAGTGTTACTGTAATTGAAAGCACTAATATCGTTTATTAATTAATTGTTTATAACAATAAGAATAATTATAATATTAATTTACAATAAGAGATAGTTATTACTTCAGAAACTTGAAAGACAAGGAATAAAATAACTTAAAAACAAAATAACTTTAAAAGATTTCTTTCTAGAGTGTCTCTGAAAGTGCATGTACTATGTAATTGATCAGATTTAAAGATAAAGATGAATTGAAGGAGCTAATGAGAAAAAAGTTAAACAAAAACTGGATTAAAACAAAAATTACCTGATTTGGTTGTTGTCCTGGCTGCATGACTCTTACTCTTTTTGCATCACTAGTATTTCCACCTGTACTGACTCTTGCTAAACTACTTTTATTTGATTTTGTATCATTATCATCTTCAGCTATAAAATCTCTCTTGGGGTAAGGAATTGGTAAACCACAAAACACATCTCTTGTAGGAAGTGGTTCTTCAGAAAAATAAGGATCTTTAAGTGCAACATCAGAAGATATTCTTTTTAAGGGATCAATTGTAAGAAGTTTTGTAAGAAGTTGAAAAGATTTGCAGTCAGCTTTAACTTTGTGTTTTTCCATGTACCGAACCAATGAACTACAACCATAATTTGCTTTTTTGAAATCTTTCATCAAAGTTAAATGTTCAGGCATTTTGGTAATATCAGGCCAATCTTTTTCTAAAAAATATATATTCACTCAAAAATCATTTAATTAATTTATTTTTTATAAGTTTAATGGCCATGGTTCCACAAGGTTGTAGAACCAATTTGCGATTGGTTACAATTGTTCTGCATATTTATGATTTTCACAACAAATACTTTTCTCAATTTTTTCATTTATAAATTTGATATTTTGAAGAAGTTATTAAATTTGTTTATTGTTTAACCCCTGGTGACAAAAATTTGGCACAATCTTGTTAAAACTTATCGAAGCTGTTAAAACTTATCAAATTTATAATTACCCTGTCTCACTTTCTATGTTCATTTTTTTCACTGATAAATGAAGCATTTGCAATTGAAGTGTGGAAGAATTTGTCACAAATATAGAAACTGTGTATTTGTCATTAATGATGAGTCTAAAGTATAAGTACAAAAGCAAATTGACACATAGTCAAAAGCCATAAAGTATCGACGATAAAATTACCCAATAAAAATCAGCCAATTATAACTAAGTTTTCTGTGCATAAGACATTTAAAAAATGATATTTTGCTCAAGTTTTTTGATACATTTACTTTTCTTAAAAATTGTCTTTTTTATTAAACATTGGGTGTACCTTTATTTCAGTCTTGTAGAGTCATCGTATTTACAACAATTTCCTGCTGAGTCATTCACAAGATATTTGTGCTGAGTCATCATGTTTACAACAACTTTCTAATAAAAAGATATTTTATCAGTAAATAAGACATTTACTGATAAAATGTTTTCCTTTGTTAAGAGTCACTCACAGACTTTTGAGTAGAGAGTATGAGTATTTGTTTTATTATATTGAAATGTGCACATACCTCTTATAACTTTTGTTTAGTGCATGGTAATGCAACATTTTTCACACAGAAATGTTCTCCTACTCTAGTGATTGATGGAGCCTATCAATGATTTTTTGCATGCAAGATTGAAGACCAAGATAAAAGTTGGGTAACACATATATGCTGCAATACTTGTGATTCTATGACTTTTGCTATCAGTTATTCCATGGCTTTTGCTATTCCTATGAAATAGATAATCATCAATCATCAAGACTGCTATTTTGATAAGGTATTGCCCTACATCACAAAATGTCTGAAAAAAAGAATGGGCTATCAAGTATCCCAATATAACATCTGCAATTTGCCCAGTACTTCATGGAAAAGAACTCCCCATTCCTGATTCACCAGCAGACTAATTTCTGGAATGTTAAAATGAAGAATTATATCAAAATAGAGCTAAATCACCTGAATGCTCAACATCACAAAACCTTGATTTCATTCCTGAAATTGTGGACACTCAGTAGGCTGACACAGGATTAAACAAAATGAAATAGAAGGATTTGTCAAAAAACAATGCAGAAATTCTGGACTCATGACGATAACAATAGAATCTGCTGCAGAAGAATGTAAAAATCTTAAAGACTTAACTTAGTTCTTATATATCAACTAATGAATTTACTCAATATTGAGTACAAACTGTTCTATCTTGCTTTTCCACACAGCCACTTTGTTCGTCAAGGTTTGTGTTTCAGAGTTATAGAGTTGATAGAGGGTAACCACAACTAAAGTAGTCTGCTCAACTGCAGTGGCATTCAGGGCTTTGGGGAGGTGAGTTAACATAAAAAAGATGAAGTAGAGAACTTTCATCAACATTTCTAAGCTTAAATCAATATTACTACATAAAAGGAAAGATTATTACTATTTCATTATTTATTAGAATTTAGACTAGAAATATTTAGGATATGCTTTCACATGAAGAAGTCTTACGTCAAAATGCAGCTTTATCTGGACTCTTGTAAAAGAAGGTATTACTACCACTATTGGGACTTATAGAGAATTTTATAAAAACAATAAACTAAGATGGTCAGGCATTCATGTACCTCAAAGAAAA